CGACAGAATACACGGCCTTTGCACTGTGCTACATCCTCAGCCCTTAAAAAAAAAAAAAAAAAAAATATATATATATATATATATATATATATATATATATATATATATAAATTTTGAGACAAGCTTTGATACATCACTAAATTGCCCAGACTGGGCTTGAACTCGCAGTTCTCCTGCCTCAGCCACCTAGAGTGCTGGAAATACAGGTGAACGCTCCATGGATCTAAAATGACACCCACATTGCTTCTGTCCAGGTGCTCGAGTGGTCTCAAGGGACATGGGCCAATTCGATATGATAAGCTTGAGTACTGTATGGAAAGGCTCTTAAAAAACATAACGCATCAAAAATAATAATAAGCAGACAGTGAAACCCACCTTTTGAAGGGAAATACATAAGTTCTGTAGACTTCAGTCTTTTGGTTTTGGTTTTTGGAGACAGGTCTCTCTAGGTAGCCCAGGCTGGCCTCAAACTCATAATGACTGTCCTGCCTCAGCCTCCTGAGTGCGAGGATTGTAGGCAAATGAGCTTTGTGGATTTAATGTAGGACTGGGTGACCTCTACTGATAGGGCCCAGAACTGTCCCTGTCCTCAGGGGACCCCCTCGGCTGTCACCACCTCCTGTCTCTACTTCCCACCCTACACAACAGACTAAACCACACCGGTCTCTGTCCCAATTTTTCTTTCTGTGTCCTTACCTGCTGGCTGCCTTACAGATCCGTTCCAGGGGCCACTGAGGTGTTGCCAGGATTGACCCCACCAGCAGAGCCCTCTCCCTGCCAGTTGGCTTCCTCCTTAAAAGCCAGCAGTGGTGTCCTCCGGCCTCCTGCCCTCTGCTATCATGAGGACCCTTGAGGACAGTCAGGGGCCAACAGCTCAGGGACACCCTGCTGCCGATGACCCTCCCATGATCCCCTCTGCGAAATCCCTTTCCCACACTAGGGTGTTTTTGGGGCCGGGACTCAGCCCTGTAGTCACATGCAGAGTGGCCCCTCTCATCAGCCATCGGGGGGTGTCTATGCCATTCCCAGCTTTGGATAATGACAACAGAGCAGCTGTCAACACGCGTGTGTGGCCGGGCCTGTTGGTACACACATGTCGTCTCAGCACTCAGGAGGCTGGGGCAGGAGGATTGCGATGAGTTTGAGGTCACATACTGAGTTCAAGGCCATACTGGATTACATAGCAAGACCTCATATCAAAAATGTCAGTAATAATAATAACATAACCCCCAGGGGGTTAACTCTGCAGGTGACAGCAGGGAGCTGGGTGGTGGTGAGAGGGACTTAGAGAGGGCCTATGAGCTCTTCAAGATCAAACTGAGTCTGACTACCCTGTCCCCAAAGGCCCCAGGGCCTGCACAGAGGTGCCCCCGGGAAGAAGCCAAGAGGAGGCTGGTAGGGAGCACCCATGGCCCTAAACTCTTGAGGCCGCGCACTTTGGGGCTGCACTGCCTGCCTGTGAATCCCAGCTTTGTCCTCCTGCAGCTGTATAACATCTTCCAGCTGTGTAATGCCTCTCTGTGTGCCTGTTTGTTCCTCTGTCTCTGGTGTGGTTTAGTCTGGTTTGGAGACAAGGTCTTATAATGTAGCCTAGGCTGCCTGGAATTTGTGGCAACCCTCCTGCCCCAGCCTCCCGAGCGCTGGATGCACACATGTTGAGCACCACACACAGGCTGTCGGCTCAGCTATAAGGAGGGAAGATAATAAGCTGCTGAGGGTACAGCGAGAGATGTGTGAATCACTCTGGAGGCTGTGGGGAGTGAGGGACCCCAGGATGGTTCCAGCCTCCCTGTTAGGAGTACTTTGGATGCAGTGGGAGGAAGAAGCCATCAGTGCACAGCCTGGGCCCACAGCTCCATGGGGACAGCCACGAACTGTCCACACGAGGGTGACCATCCGGAAGCCCTGCCCCAGACACTCCAAGGTGGAAAATTCCACCCAGCCTCCCCTCCCCGCGGGTCCCAGTCCAAAAGGCTATTGTACCCAGTTCCCCCCAAGCTCTGTGCAGAAAGTACACAAAGCTACGCAGGCTTTGTGTTTAGACTCCGATCCCTACGAGAGACAGCTCGTGGCAAATCTGCAAATATTACAAAACCTTGGGGGGGGGGGAGTCTGACCTTCAAACAGTTGAAGTCTTGAGCATGTTGGAATAAATAAGAGACACTCAACACTGCAATGTAAACCGTGAGAGGGAAAGAAGCCAGGCATGGTAGCTCATGTCTGTAATCCCTGTACTTGGAAAGCTGAGGCAGGATGATTGCTGGTTGAGGCCAGCCTGGGCTACATAGTGAGTCCCTGGTTTTGGGGTTTTTTTTTTTTTTTTGTGTGTGTGTGTGTGTGTGTCTTTTTGAGACAGGGTCTTGCTGTGCAGTGCAGGCTGGCCTTGAGCTCACTTTGTAGCCCAGGCTGATTTTGAACTCGAAATGATCCTCCTGCCTCAACCTCTTGAATGCTGGGATTACAGGTGTGAGCCACCACGCCCAGCTATGAGACCCTGTCTTGAAAGGAAGAAAGAAAGAAAAGAAAAGAAAAGAAAAGAAAAGAAAAGAAAAGAAAAGAAAAGAAAAGAAAAGAAAAGAAAAGAAAGGAAGAAAGAGGGCCGGGGATTTAGCTCAGTGGCATAAGCGCCTGCCTTGCAAGTGTACATTCATGAGTTTGATCCCAGGTACCAAAAGAAAAAAAGGGAGGGAGAGGAAGGAAGTGGGGGAGAGGAGGAGGATGGGTGAGTCCCATGGTCTGGGGTCATCTGCAGGACCAGTGATGACACAAAGCGGATATGAGGCCTTCAGCCTGTCCCATCAGCAGTCCTGGGCCACTGAGTCCCTGTTCCTGCCCCCCGCTGTCCCCTCATTCTTCTGCTCAGGATGCCTGCTGTGTGAGTGTGTGTGTGTGTGTGTGTGTGTGTGTGTGTGTGTGTGTGTGTGTGACACCCTGGGCCTGTGACCCAGGGAGGAGCTGCCCTGGGGCCACATCTGGCTCAGGAGTGGGGAGAAGAGGCTCAGGCCCTGTGTCCAGCACAGCAAGAGTTCAGCCAGGGCCATCCTGTGGCCTCTGTGCACCACACCCCCGGGTCAGGTCCAGGGCACAGTGCACTTGGGGACTCTGGCTGAGGGTGGGCTGCAGGGAAGGAGCAATTTGGGGAAGAACCAGACCCCAGCGCTCCTTGTTTAGTGTCGTTTACTGAGACCGGGTCTCACTAAGTGGCTCAGGCTGGGCTCACACTGGAGATCCTCCTGCCTCAGCCTGCCAGTAGCTGGTATAACTGGCCTGCAGCATCACTCCAGTTGTGCGTGGTTCTCATTGTGTGACCTTAGCCAAACTGTGGCCCTCCCTGAACCCCCCATTTTCCCATCTGAAACACGTGGGGAACCCCAAGCCATCATTCCTGCAGGGACAGGGATTCCTCCTCACATGAGTTGTGTGGGATGAGCTTTGTGCACTGGGGCTTCGGCAGGGAAACTGGGGGGTCCCGACCCTTCATAGCCCAGGGCAGAGAACCATTGGGACTGGACAGGGCTGTGTGACCTGGACCTTTCTCCCCCTGCTTCCTAGTGAAGCCTTCACTGTTCATTTTTTCAGATACTGGTTGAGCATCAAGTGTCTCAGCCCTGTGGCACTGCGGGGTGCTCTAGGGTACCCCGGATTTCCTTATGCTCCTGTGAACATCACAGGAGCCTCTCCTTGTGTGGTCTGTGCTCCTTGCTGCAAGTGGAGGGAAGTAACTTCCTCAAGGAGCTGTGATGACCTTGAAGACCCAAAGGACTCGGCCACAGCAGGGGAACAGCCAGCCTTAGCCCCTCTAAACCAGGCGTGGGGGTACATGCCCCCAATCCCAGAACCCAGGAGCTGAGGCAGGACAATCACCAGGAGTTTGAGGCCAGCCTGTGCTATAGAGTGAGATCATGGTTAAAAAAAAAATTGAAGATACAGCTTAATGTGCAAGCTTTGGTTCAGTCCTCCAAGTCAAGAGAAACAAGTGAGGGGTGAAGATCTGAGAAAGAAACAATTTTTCAGTTTGAAGTTGCAGAGCATTCTGGGAGGGATAATGAAACCTCCCACTGTCCCGCTGCACCCTGCCTGCCCAGGAATTGTCCCCTGACCTGAGTCCCCTCTCCATGTCCACCACGAAGTCCCTGCTTGGTTGCCTGGGCTGTCAGATCAGCTGCTGTATTGTTACCCCTTGTGTCTGTACTTTGGTGTTATCCCAGGGTTTAGGCATCTCTGGGGGTCTTGGAACACAAGTGGTGCCAAAGTACGAGGGATAAAGCCAGGGGTTGTGGTGCATGTCTGTAATCCCAGCACTCAAGAAGCTGATGCAGGAGGATCTCTACAACTTTAAAACCAGCCTGAATAACATAGTGAGACCCTGTTTCAAAAGCACAAACTAAAGGCCAGGCATGGTGGCGCATTCCTGTAATCCTAACACTTAGGAGGCTGAGGCAGGGATTGTTTCAAGTTTGAGACCAGCCTGGGCTACAAAATGAGTTCAAGGCCAGCCTGAACTGCATAGTGAAATCCCATCCCCAAAAGCAAAAAAAAAAAATTAAAAAGAAAAATACAGCTAGGCATGGTGGTTTATACCAGTAAGCCTAGCACTTGGGAGGCTGAGGCAGGAGGATCTTCACGAGTTTGATGCCAGTCTGGGCTACATAATAAATTCAAGACCAGCCTGAGATCCTCCTGCCTCAGAGTTCTGAGTGTGGGGGATACAAGTATGCACCATATGTCCAGCGTGTGCCTGGCTTTATTTTTTGTTTTTTGGTACCGGGGATTGAACTCACTCACGACCTCACACTTGCCAGACAGATGCTTATGCAACTGAGCTAAATCCTCAGCCCATGCTTGCCTTCATCCACCCATGAAGGATGGATCACAATCATGACATCCAGGTCATGCAGGGGTTCAGCAAGCCACTCCCACTTTTGATGAAAGCTGGATCCCGCGGGGCTTGGTACCCAGGGTGGCCCTGTGTCCTCACACTGCCTGTCTCTCTCCTGCAGCACGAAGCTGCTGGGTGAATACTTCTGGTACAAGGGCATCCCCTTCCCCGTGGGCCTCTACTCACCCGAGAGCATCAGCCAGGCCGAGAACACCCAGGACGTGTGGGATGACGACATCTTCATTGTCACCTACCCCAAGTCAGGTACTGAGGCCGGGGAGAGCGAGGTGGGGGTCACCCAGGAGCCTGGCATGGGGCCAGGGGTCCCCGAGCTGCTGGTGGCGGTGGCAGCAGCGCCCCCTCCTGCCCTCCGGTTCCCTTCACCTTCAGTGTATGTATTTGTCGCTGCTGGCCAGGCTCTCTGGTGTCCCCACTGGAATGAGAAACTGTAACTTCAGTTGGGTTGGTCTGCTTTCAAACCTGTCGTGTGCGGTGATTCACACCTGTCACGCCAGCACTAGGGAGGCTGAGGAAGGAGGATCTCTGCAAGCTCGACGTCAGGTTGGACTACATAGTGAGACTCTCAAAACAACCAAAACCAACCAACCAATTAAATAACAATAACACCAACCAAAAAAAGGAAAAAAAAAGAATGAAATATTTTGAAAAATTTCAAAAGTAACAGAAATTCACCAGGTTAACCCCATCACGTCAGAAGAGAGGCAGAAGCCCAGCTCTCCCCTGCCCCCAGCCTCACAGGACCTCCCTTTGCACTGCATGAGTGAAAGCTCCCAACCTCCAGCTCCCAGCCCTTCTTTGTCCCCCAAGCTGCCATCCCCACCCACACCCCCACCCTCCTCCTCCAGCTGGGTGCCTCCCCCAGCCCCAGGCCCCATCTTATTTCCTTGACAGACCCCCAGCCCTAATTACAAGGCGATGCAGCTAATTGTGTGTTTAAATAAAGCCTGGTTTGCTGGACACCGGACACCGTGGTGTACGCCTGTGATCCTGGCATTCTGGGAGGCTGAGGCAGGAGGATGGCAAATTCAGGCCCATCCCAGGCAACTGACTTGGTGAGACCCTGTCTCAAAATATTTTTTAAAAATCTGTTTTTCAAAAAAAAAAAAAAAAAAGGGGGCTGGGGATTTAGCTCAGCGGCATAAGCGCCTGCCTTGCAAGCAGGCAGTCGTGAGTTCGATCCCTGGTACCGATAAAAGTGAAAAAGACCAAAAAAAAAAAAAAAAAAATCTGTTTTTCCCAGAAAATTGACACATATTGCTCTTGGTCACAGATGACCCATCAGTAGCATTTCAGAGACCCAGAGCAGAAAATGAAGGTCCTTCCCCTCTCTTATACAAATCCGTCATGAACATTTATTACATAGTGTAATGGAGGATCCTGTTCTAGGCTCCAAACTGAGGTTTTATTTTATTTATTGACATAGGATCTCACTATGTAATTCAGAGTAGTCTTGAATTCATGATGTAGCCCGTGATGGCCTCAAACACAGCAATTCTCCTGCCTCGGCCTCCTGTGTGCTGGGATTACATTATTTTTTTAAATTTTTTATTTCAAAGGGGGTAAAATTAAACACAACAAAACAGAACAAAATAGGACATAAGAAAGCAATGTAAGAGATATAAATTTCAAAGCTAGATGACCTGAGATCTTCACTATCTATCATATTGTCTCGTTTTCTTCCAAATCGTTGTCCACGTCTTCGCATACAGAGAATTCATACAAAACAACATGGTATAAAACTGATCCGAACAAAATGAGGAAGGCGTTTTAGGTCTTCAAAACCAGACAACAGGGATGTCACCAATGGCTGTCGTAGAGTCTCTCGTTCTCTTTAAAATAGCTGTCCATACCCTCATGTATATTGAAGTTCAACAAAACAAAACAGGCGGTGGGGAGGGGTTGATTGGTTTCCCAGTGCTCCAGGTCCCAGCACGGTGAGGGTCCCAGTAAATGCCAGTGATTACATTATTTTTTAAAAACCTTTTTATTTTATTTTTTCTATTTTTAATTCAATTTATTTTTTCCTGGTACCAGGAATCGAACTTACAACCATGCACTTGCCAAGCAGACGCTTACACCACTGAGCTAAATCCTCAGCCCAATTTTGAACAGAGTCTATGTAATGCAAGCTGGCCTTGAAATTGCAACCTTCCTGCCTCAGCCTTCTGAGTGCTGGGATCACAGGCCAGCGCCACCACTCCAGATTGCTCTTCTGTTGTTGTTGTTGGTCCCAGGAATTAAACTCAGGACCTCGTGATGCCAGGCAGGCGCTGTGCTACTGAGCTCTACCCCAAGGCTCTATCCTATATTCTTTAAAGCTACTCTGATAGGCACTGCTGGATGTCTCACTGTGGCTTCAATTTGCATCTTCCCAGTGACCAGTGGTGCCGTGATTTCTTCCTGGTGTTCAGCCCTTCTGTGTCTTCTCTGGGAAAGCCTCAGGTCAAATCATCTTACTCCTCAGCTGAGCAGTTTGTTTTCTCATCACTGAGCCTCCAGAAATTGTTCGGTAGTCCAGATACTCCTGATCACGCATACATTTTCCACAGACTTCTCTCGTTGTACAAGGTCTCTTCATTTCTCACCAGGGCATAAGCGCACACATTTTTCATCAAATATCAAATTTGTCAATTTGTGCTTTTATGGATCATGAGTCTGGTGCTGTAGCCAAGGAGTCTTTATTTAACCCATGATCACAAAGATGGCCTGACTGGATGTGGTGGTGCATGCATGTAATCCCAGCACTTGGGAGGCTGAGATAGGAGGATCCTTGTGAGTTTGAGACTGGCCTGGGCTATATAGCAAGACCCTGTCTCAAAAAGACCAAAAAACAAAACAGAGTAACAAAGATGGCTTGTGTTTCTTTGAGTTTTATGAATTTGGATTTTACATTAAAATCTATGACCCATAGGGGGCTGGGGATTTAGCTCAGCAGCATAAATGCCTGCCTTGCAAGCGTGTGGTTATGAGTTCAATCCCTGGTCCTGGTAAAAATACAAAAAAAAAAAAAAAAATCTATGACCCATTAAAGGAGGGGGATAGTGGAGTCCCAGCCCTCAGGAGGCTGAGGCAGGAGGATTTCCGTGAGCTAAAGGTCACTTTGGGCTACATAGACTCTGTCTCAAAAAAAACCCAAACAAACAGGGGCCCGGTATATAACTCAGCAGCCTAAGTGCCTGTCTGGCAAGCCCACGATCATGAGTTCAATCCCCAGTACCAAACCAAACAAAAACATACATGCATACTTTTGCATGTGTGTTTATCTGCAGGGTAAACTCCTAGACATGAGCCTGGTATGGTGGTATACATGTAATATTAGCATTCTGGGAGGCTGAGGCAAGAGGACTATAAATTCAAACCCAGTGTGCACAATGTAGAGACTTAGTAAGACCCTGTTTCAAAATAAAAAATAAAGAGCTGGGGGTGTCACAAGGCCCTGAGTTCCATCCCCAAGCACCTCTACAAGAAGGGTGGACTATGTACACTTGCAGTCCTGAAAGTTGTGGCCCAATTTCCACATAAAATCTGGGGCATTCTTCCCCACATCTCCGCTATCATCCTGAACCAGAGCTTTTGCTCTGTACCAGGCTGACAAGTGAAACTAAAAAAGGACTCTGCCTCATGTTAATGTATGCTTATATCACTAGTGATGAAGTTGAACATAATTTTAGATATTCCTTTTCTTTTCTAATAAAGGTTTATTTATTCTTTTTGAGACAGGGTCTCACTATAGAGTTCAGGCTGGCCTTGAGCACATTTTGTAGCTCAGAGTGGTCTCGATCTTACAACAATCCTCCTGCTTTAGCCTCCAGAGTGCTGGGATTACAGGCAAGTGCCACCACATCTGGCTAAATATTTCAAAAACTACTTACAGGCTGTGGATTTGCTCAGTGGTAGACAACGTGCCTCGCACATGAGAGGCCCTGGGTTTGATCACTGGTCCCTAAGAATAAAAGCCAACAACAACAAAACCTACTTCTATTTCTTCTTTTGGAATTTGTTACCCTTGGTCCTTTTTCCCCTTCTATTATATTATTGGTTTTTTATTGATTCATAAGTGCTTTTTATTTATTAGTGAACTTAACTTTTTGTAACAAATTATGTATCTTTGTCCAGGTCGTCATTTGCCTTTTAGCCTTTGTTCATAATGTTTTTCTATGCATATTTTTAAAAGTATGTAATCAAACTGTATTTGTATTTATCCAGATGTGGTAGCTCATGTCTGTAATTGCAGCACTCTGGAGGCTGAGACAGGAAGACTGCTCTGAGTTCAAGGGCAGCCTGGGCCACATAGTGAGACGGGCTCAAAATAACAACAACAAAACAAACAAACAAAAAAACACAACAAAAGTGCCAGGGGCATAGCTCAGTGGCACAAGTGCCTGCCTGGCAAATATAAGGTCCTTAGTTCAATCCCTATTACCAAAACAACAACAACAAAAAATATTTCTCTTTGCTATTTCTCTTTGCGCACCTAAAATCTCACCACTTGAGAGGCTGAGGCAGAGTTTGAGGCCAGCCTCGGCTACATAGTGAGATTCTGTCTCACAAAACAAAACAAACGAGATAATATATATCTTTGATTCCTTAATCATCATCATGATTTTTTTCTTGAGACAGTCTGGCTATGTTTCCCAGTCCCACGTCAAATTTGTGCTCAAGATTCTCCTGCCTCAGCCTCCTGAGTAGCTGGGACTCCAGGTGCTGTGGCTATGATTATGGGATAGCTTCTGATCGTGGGAACACAACTGGATTCTCTGTAGGCAGGATTCCGCGATGAAACACCTTTCCCTCTGGTTGTTCCACCCTGGGCTCAGATCCTTAGGAAATGTGAAAACCCTTGAGAACATCTCCAAACCCTCTCTTTCCTGTTCCCCACTGCCGTAGTTTCTTCTCCCTAGTCAACGCTGGTGCTAGTCCGGGTTTAGGTTAAAATGCTTGGGGCTGGGGATTTAGCTCAGCGGCATAAGCGCCTGCCTTGAAAGCAGGCAGTCGTGAGTTCGATCCCCGGTATCGATAAAAAGAAAAAAGACCAAAAAAAAAAAAAAAAAAATGCTTTAGCGGCCAGCCCTAGTGGTACACCTCGAATCCCAGCACTCTGGGAGAGGCTGAGGCTGGAGAATCACAAGTTTGAGCCCAGCCTAGGCAGTTTAGCAATTTAGCCAGACCCTGTCTCAAAATAACGCTCTTCCTAAGAGGAAATAAGCTGCTTTTTCTCCCCACGACGGCGTCAGGTGGGCGGGTATTTGGACAGACAGGGGGCTCCGTTCCAAGCAGTCAAGCTGGTTAGCGTGTAAGATGTTGTCTGCCTCTTCTCAGGTACCGGCTCCACCGTGCTGCCAAGTAGGAAAGGGAAACGAACGTTTATAGCACAACCCAGACCGCGGACTCACTTCTCGCCTTTCATAGGCCAGAGCGTTGTCACGTGACTAACCCAGCTGCGGAGGATTCTGGGAAATGTAGTTTCTGGTTGATGGTAACGTGCTTTGCGCGTAATAACCCTGAGGAAGGGAGGATGGGCCTGAAGATGCTTGGATCTCTGCTAAACCGTCTCACGAGGGTGGATCGGTCAGGCCCAGACAGGAGACTAAAACCGCAGTGATTTGGACAAGAAAGGCCTCATGTAAAGAATGATTCACACCCAAGCGGTGGCAATTATTTAGAGAATGTTAAGTGTGGACCAGAATGTGGAGGAACCAGATACTTTGTGCTCTGTGATGAGAATGCAAAATGATGCGGCCACGGTGGAGAACAGCACGGAGTTTCCTCAAAAAACAAACAAACCAACACATAAAGCTGGGTGTGCTAAAGCATGCCTATAATCTCTGTACTCAGGAGGCTAAGGCAGGAGGATTTCCAAGAGTTTGAGGCCAGACTAGACAACACAGTGAGTTCAAGGGCAGCCTACTGCATAGGGAGACCCTGTCTCAAAACATCGATTAAAAAGTACACAGGAACAGCCGATTTAAAGAGCAGCCGCTTTTCCTGGGCTGGAACTAACTCCTCCCTCCTGCTCCCCCCAAGCAGCAACACATTTGGAAAAGGGACTTTTCTGCCTCCCTATTCCCACCCCACTCCCCTGGAGAGGGTGTGGCGCTGAAACTTGCCAAGTGGGTAAATGTCGCTGGGTGTCCACTGATGGGCTGACCGCTAAGGAGGCACAGATCCTCAGGGACAGGAAGAGCAACCTGTCCTCATGGCACATGCCTGCAGCGCCCTCTGCCGGCAGAACTTCGCACCGACCCAGCTGACCAAGGGAAAGGTTCACCCGTGAGACCAACGAACTAGAGCTAGGAGGCCACGCTTTGGTGCCGGGCGCCGGGCATTTGTTAAAATTCAGCAGAATGAGCGCACACCTGCACTGCCAGCACTCGGAGGCTGAGGCAGGAGGAGCCAGTGTTAAAACCCAGCCTGGGCAACTTGGAGACTTGGTGAGACCTTGTCTCAAAATAAAAACTAAAACAGGATGATTTAGTGCAAAGGCCCTGGGTTCAATTCCCAGTGCTACAAGAAAAATAAAGCATCCAGAACCCTTCCTTGGTCAGGCTCTGTCATGTGGCCCCACAGAGCAAACAAGAGATGTGGCTTCACCATTTCCCACCAGGAAGATGGGACAAGGGAGGGTGGGTGGCCAGGTTATAGCTGCCACTTGCCACTTTCCCGTTCTGCGGCCTTGGATGAATGACATCGCCTCAGGATTTTGTTTTTGTTTTTTAGCACTGAGAATTGAACCCAGGGCCTTTGCACTTAGCTGTACCCCCCAGCCCTTTTTATTTATTTATTTGGAAATAGATTCTTAAAATTTGCCTAGGCTGGATGCAAATTTGGGATCCTACTGCCTCAGCCTCCCAGGGTCCTGATAGACACTGTTCTTGGCATTTTAGTCACATGTTCTGAAAACGAGGCTCATCAACCCTGCCTTTGCCATGGACTGAGGATAAAATAAATGCAATAAAACAAATGGTGAATGCCCAGCACTCAGGAGGCTGAGGCAGGACAATCACCATGACTTCGAGGCCAGTCTGGAATCCATAGCAAGACCTTGCCACAAAAATATAGAAAAAATACGTGGCAAAGTGCTGTGTGGGGGCTGCTGTTGTTAATCTGACTGCTCCCCCATCACCCCTTCCCACTCCGGTTCATCACCCAGTCTCCCCCAATAGGTACCTCCTGGATGATCGAGATCCTCAGCCTAATCCTGAAGGATGGGGATCCCACCTGGATACGCTCGGTGCCCATCTGGGAGCGTGCGCCCTGGTGTGAGACCATCATGGGCGCCTTCAGCCTCCCGGACCAGCCCAGGCCACGCCTCCTGAGTTCCCATCTCCCCCTGCACATCTTTCCCAAGGCTGCCTTCAACTCTAAGGCCAAGGTGCGGAGGGGGAGGTCACGGAGGTGGGCAGTTTTCCATGTCTCTCAGTCAATGCCTTGCATCTTGATCTCCCCTACCCTGAATCCCACGCCTCCTCCTGTGCTGCACTTCTCCTGATCCTGAAATGGTCCCTCCCACCCCCAGAGTGAGGCCAGTGCTGAGCCACTGTCAGCTGCAGGACCCTGCCCAGGTCCGCCCTAAACCTTCCTGCCTGGGATCTGGGCCCCACCTGGGTCTGACACCCTTCCACTCCCTGATGCCCACATGTAGGTCATCTACCTCGCCCGGAACCCCCGCGACGTCCTGGTATCCTTCTACCACTACTCCAGGATTGCCCGGCAGCTGAAGGACCCTGGCACGCCGGACCAGTTCCTGCAGGACTTCCTCAAAGGCCAAGGTGAGGCCCACTCCAGGAAAGGAAGACCCAGAGGGAAGAGGGGATGAGGAAAGGGACAGAGTGCTGGAAGCTGGGGATGGTGCCACACATCTGTAAGCCCAGCACTCTGGGAGGCTGAAGCAGGAGTTTAGATCCAAGCTCCAGTTTAGATCCAAGCTCCAGTTTAGATCCAAGCTGAGGGGGGATCAGACTGCTGATGGTCTGACCATATGGATGGGGGGGGGGTGCATGTGGTGGGAGCTGGGAGGTGCAGGAGGGAGGGGCCCAGGACTCAGCAGACCTGGGGACCTGGGGTGCTGCTGGGTTCACAGCACGTCCCCTTAAGCCAGGGGGTCCTGTGCCTCACCCTCTTCCCACCCCTCGCCCACAGTGCAGTTTGGTTCCTGGTTCGACCACATTAAGGGCTGGATTCGGATGCAGGGGAAAGAGAACTTCCTGTTCCTCACCTACGAGGAGCTCCAGCAGGTGGGTCCCCTCAGCCCTGCTGCCCCCATGCTCCTAAGCCTGGCACTGTAGATTTGGAATGGAGCCAGGTGTAGATGCACCCCTGGAAATGCCAACCCAGCAGGGAAGAAAGTCAGGACCCTGGGGCCATGACTCAGGGTCAGGGGTCAGAGGAGCAGCTCTGGAGGGAGCAGGAGCTGAGGAGGAGAGGCAATGCCTGGGGAGGTGGCTGGTGCAAAGGCCCTGGGTTGGCTTTTGCCTCAGTGTGATCCCAGGAGAACAGAAACAAATGAGGGTCTGGGAGGGTGGAGGAGGGGCCAGCTCGGAGAGCACTTCCGTTGTCTGAGCAGCAGGGGCCCTTGGGTGGGCTCTGAGCAGGGAAGACAATTAGATGGATGAAAGTCTGCAGAACTGCAGCACGTGGGAGAGGAGGACCAGGAAGGGCTGAGGGAGACAGTGAAGACAGTACCCCAGCCAGCCCTGCCCTATGTGCTCGGTGGAGAAGTCAGGGAGGCTTCCTGGAGGAGGCACCTTGGGTGCAGTCAGCCTGCTAGACGGTTACTTCTCCTGGCCTGGGAAATGTGTTCTCATGGGAAGATGCAGAAGAGGTCCTAGCTCGGCTCCACCCTCCCTCCCTTCCAAGCCTGGTTCTCTAGACCAGAAACTGGGCCACCGAGCCCGGCAGAGCTCTCCAGCTGCCCACACGGTCATGGTCACGTTTCTGGGACAGAAAGGGATGGCGGTTACGAAACCAGGAGTGACCTGGAAAGGTGGCGCTGCGTGTCACAGAAGGCTGTGAGGGAGAGGGCAGCTGAGGCCTGCACTGACTGAGTCTGACCTTCTCCGTGCTGTGTGACCTTGGACAAGTGCCTTGCTGTCGCTGGGCAAGCTAGCTTTGTTTTTCTCTTTTTTTTTTTTTTTTTTTTTTTTTTTTTTTGAGTCAGGGTCTCCCTGTGCGGTTCAGGCTGGCCTTGAGCTCACTTTGTAGCCTACAATGGTCTTGAATTTGCAAGGATTCTCCCGCCTCAGCCTCCTGAGCCCTGGGATTAGAGGCTGTGTCACCACACCCAGCTATGATAATTTTCTTGTTCAGTTAAATATCCAGAGCCTTACACTGCGCTACATCCTTAGTTGTTTTTTTTTTTTTTTTTTTTTTTTTTTTTTTTTTTTTTTTTGAGACAAGGTTGTTGAATTGGCCAGGCTAGGTTTGAATTTATAGTCCTCCTACCTCAGCCTCCCAGAGGGTTGGCATTACAGCATGGTGCTTCTCATTGCAAAGCCAATGACAGAACTGGCGCAAACGTACATGAGGGGCTGGAACCAGGGCTTGGAATGCAGTGGGTGCTCAGTCTACAGGGACCTAAACCACCCATTTGGAAGACAGCCATCCTCAGTGGCTAACGGTGTCCCTGACAGCCTCCAGCCAGGCCGAGGGAGGAATGTGCAGGGAACAGCAAATCCTGGAACCTTGGGAAGCGCTGAGAACAGGTCACCCTGTCTTTGAAAGCCAGGCCAGTGAGGCATCGGACAGTATGCCTGTGATCTCAGTGCTCAGAAGGCTGAGGCAGGAAGATCTCTGAACATTTGAGGCCAGCCTGCGAGTTCAAAGTGAGATCCTGTCTCAAAAAGCAAAAAAAGAAAAGAAAGAAAGAAAAGGAAGGAAGGAAAGAAGGAAGGAAGGAAGGAAGGAAGGAAGGAAGGAAGGAAGGAAGAAAGGAAGAAAGAAAGAAAAGCACTGGGGGCCACAGGGGGCTGGGAGCCAGGGAGGAGCAGGGCTGGCTTGAGGGGAATGGTGAGGCAGTGGCAGGGAGTGCAGGGAGGAGGCTGGGTTCGGGTCTGGAAGGGAGAGGCCTCCGTCAGTCCTGGGGCTGTGGGCACAGAGTTGGGAACATGGCAGAGGTGAGGGAGGAGGGTCAGGGTTGATGACTAATGGCTGAGGTGGGGTGAAGGCCAAGGGCGGAGAGGTCAGGCCCAGCACCCAGCCCTGTGAGGGGTGAATGAGCCATCTTGGGTACCCCTGTGGTGGATGTCTCCTGCCTCAGCCTCCCTGGCCTCTCCCCAACCCAGGACCTCCACAGCTCCGTGCAGCGCATCTGTGAGTTCCTGGACCGGCCGCTGGGCGAGGAGGCGCTGGGCTCCGTTGTGGCGCACTCGGCCTTTGGCGCCATGAAGGCCAACACTATGTCCAACTACACGCTGCTGCCCCCCAGCCTGCTGGACCACCGCCTTGGGGCCTTCCTCCGCAAAGGTGGGGATAGACCCATAGAGCACAGCATCCAGCCTGGGGTGACACAGGCACCCGGACTGGCGGGCCCCATGCCCTCTGGAGAGCCCCATCCCCCAGTCCCCTGATCACTGCCGAAACTGTCAGATGCTTGAAGCTGGGTATGGTGGTGCACGCCTGTAATCCCAGCACTTGGGAGGCTGAGGCAGGAGGATCATTGTGAGTTTGAGGTCAGCCCAGGCTACAAAGTGAGCTCAAGGCCAGCCTGCACTGCACAGTGAGACCCCATCTCAAAAAAAACAAAGAAAGAAAAGTTGCATATTCACAGATTCCAAGGATTGGGACTTCTTGGGGGTACCCAGCCCTTGATAGGAGCTCCCCAAGAGCTCACATGGAGATTGTGTGGTATGTGGCACCGGCATTTCAAATGCTAGGATCTGGATCTGGATCAGTGGGCCCCAGGATTCCAGGCAAGGCTGGCACCCAGTGGTCGCCCTAGGAGTAGGTGGCAAACCAAAGGAGTCCTACACTGGCTGGGGGCTCACAGCCAGGCCATGGAGGTCTCTGGATGAACCCCAGAGAATGCCTGGCTCAGGCAGGGGTGAAGCAGGGGACAGGCTGACTTGGGGTTGCTGTCTCCATAAGGGCCAGGAGGTGGGAAAGAAAGTGCCCGAATGTGGGCGGTCATGACCCTCCTACCCCTCGGCAGCCCCTCACCCAGCCCCTTCCTCCTTTGCCAGGGGTTAGCGGCGACTGGAAGAACCACTTCACAGTGGCGCAGAGCGAGGCCTTCAACCGCGTCTACAGGGAGCAGATGCAGGAGATGCCAGCCTTCCCCTGGGACAAGGACCTGGGGGACTGTGGCCTGGACCCAGAGCTTGAGCCTGAGAGCAGCCCTGGCTCCAGTGAGGACTCCAAACCCCCCCACTAGTGACCCTGAAAATAAATGCTTTGCCGAACCCCATTTCTTGGTGATTTCAGGAGGGGGGGTTCCAGGGGAGGTGGCAGAGGGCTCCCGAGGGCAGAGGGCTGGGCCGCTGAAAGGGACTGAGACTCAGCCCTGGCCCAAGAGAACAGGGTGGCCAGGAGCCCCACACAGGGACGACTCCCAGCAGAAGGCAGGGGACCAGAGCCCCTAGGAGGAACATGAGGAGGAACATGAGGAGGGGTGTGGGGGCCGCGGAGACACGCATGTGTGTCAGGAGGCAGTTTATTCTCTGAAGAAAGGGAGGCCTCCCTCCCAACCGATGCTCCCTTTTGCCCCTCATCACCCCATCCTACCCGCCTGCACCCTAATCATGAGACTCTCTGGTCCCTCGTTACTCAGCTCTGCTCTCTTCGGAAATGTAGGCACCCCATCCTCGGGCTCTTCCGTTCCAGGACTCAGTTTACCCACAGCGCCCGAGCATGGTGGGAGCAGTATCTTCTTCCACTTTGGTCCCCAGGGGTCCTCCTCCTCACCCCATATTCACCATGGGGTGCTCAGCCACCTCCTCCAAGAAGTCCTGGCCTGGCTGAGGCCTCATGCACTGTGCTGTGGCCCTGGGGACTTTTTCTGTTTCCCAGACTGTGACCCTGAGCCTAGAGCAGGCCCCAGGCTCACCCAGTTCCTGGACCACGGCACAAAATCACTCCCTCAGCCCAGTGTGAGGGCTGGGGCTCTGTCAGGGTCGCCCCCCTCTTCCCAAGCGAGGGGCCCAGTCTGGCTGCTGGATGCCTCTGAGCTCCACCAACTGGGATGGACCGCTGTCACCGATCCTCCTGCGGGTGGGGGACAGGTAGCGGAGGCGGCGGGCAGGGATTGGGGGCAGGGGGCTGCCCCGGGGCTGGCACCAGGCGAGAGGCCGGGCATCTCCAGCACCCCGCTGTCTCATCAGGGCCTTGGCTGGGGTGTCCTTGGAGCCCCAGGCCTTGAGCTGTGGAGGGAAAGGGGGAGGTGAGAAGTGGGGGTGAGGGAAGTAGAGGGGAAAGTGGGGGGGTGAGGACCAGGTGGGCATGAAGGGGAAAAAGGCAGTGGGGAGCCACGCACCCCCAGACCCACACAGGGAGCCACCTATGGTTTTGTGGTTTTGCGGATTAGAAGGAACCGGAAGCCACCTGCAGTTCCTGTAGGAGCAAATATTTGCCGAGGGTGGCACTATGGAGTGAAGACAGCCAGACCCGGTGGAGGCCAGGATCTTGCCCCAGCCCAGTGCCTCCCCAGTCTCTCCAAGCTGCAGCTGGAGGGACTCAGGAACATGTCAGCCTCAGGGAAACAGGCAGGAGGGCACAGCAGGCCTGCCCACAGATCTGCCCCACATGGCTCTGCTATACCCTCACGGTCACCCACTTCAAGTCCATAACCCTGAAGCACAGAGAGAGGACATCACCTGCCCTGGGTCCTCCAGTTGCAGGTTGGGACAGGCTCTGTGGGACCCCACTGTCTAAGCAGCTGGGGGACTGAGGGGAGCTCCTATAAGCGCTTCTGGACCCCTTTCCCTAACACCCCTTGAGACTAAAATCCAGAAAGGAGGCCCAGAGTGGTGGTGCAAACCTGTAATCCTAGCACTCAGGAGGCTGAGGCAGGAGGGTCACTGTGAGTTTGAAGCTAGCCTGGATTGCATAGAGAGACTTGGAAAACCAAAAAAAAGTGGGAGTTGGGGGGCACAAGCGAGTATGGCCTCATTGGCCTGTGATGAGGACATCATGGAATAAATAAAAACTTTCATGTCAGAGCAGTGTGGGTGACATTGTTATTTACCCTCACAGACCGACCTCTCGGCCACACGGAGAACCAGGCACTGGTTCAGTTCATTTCCTAGACAGGAACACTGAAGTGCGGAGAGGGTAGGCATGAATCCAGGACTCGCACTCAGGCCTCAGAGTCTCTGCCATATGCCCCAGAGTGTGCGGCCAGCACACAGTAGGGCTACAGAGTGTGGACAAGCAGTTGTAAATGCAAGTGAACCATTTGGCCTTCTTGTCACCACACCAGGAGGATACAGTAAGCCTGGGAAAATGCTTCTTCTGCTGGGTGCAGCAGCACTTGCCTCTAACCCCAGCTCTTCAGGAGGCTGAGTCAGGAGGATCATCACACTCAAGTCCAGCCTTGGCACTTAGTGATTTAGTGAGAATTGGTCTTGTGCCATCTCCCCCGGCCTCTCCAAATGTAAAAAGTAAGTAAATAAACAACAAAAGGGCTAAAAAAAAAAAATTTTAAATTAAAAAAAAAAAAAAAAAAAAAAAACAACCAAGGGCTAGGGATGTTGCTCAGTGCAAAGTCCTGGGTTCAATCCTGAGGGCTACAGAAAGAAAGAGAAGGGAGGAAGGAGGGAGGGAGAAAGGAAGCGGGGAAGACAGAGGAAGAGAAAAAGGAAGAGGGGAGAATGGAGGGAGGGAAGGACTTCCTGCTTTGGTTAGTGCCAGCAGGGACCCCACAGGCCACCCACGGGACCTCGATAGGTGCCATCCCTTCCTGGGCCTCTGCCGCGGCTGCTCGTCTCACCTCGCCATCCCCATCGCTGGAGCCAGACAGCTGGGACAGGCGGCTCAGGTCCCACAGGGAGCGGCTGGGCCGGGCCGGGGGGCCACTGGCTGTCCGGGTGCCCTGCACGCTGCGGAGGATGTCGCTGAGTGCCAGGCCGGGTGGCCCCGGAGCCTCCCTGGGGTCCCCCTCCTGCAGGCGGCAGGCAGCCAGACGGTGGGCCAGGGGGCCGTTGGGCGGCAGCGGTGACACCGGTGCGACTGGGCAGCGGTGGACCACACGGTGTGGGCTCCGGGCGGGCAACAGGTCCCCAGAGGCAGGGACGCTGAGCAAGGGCCCCGTGGTGGGCGCGGGCGGGAGAGGCCAGGAGGCCGCGTACAGCGTGCGGAACTCGCGGCTGAATGCATCGGCGATCTCCCCAGTCAGCAGGGTCAGCAGGCCTCGGTGCAGGCGAGCGTCGCTCCATGTGAAGCTGGGAGACACGGGTGGCGGTCAGATGTACAGCCTGGCCTATGCCTGCCTGCCTGACCTCGGGCAAGTTGACCTCCTGGGGCTCGGCTTCTGCCCCTGCAGAACTGGGGTGGTGCGCATCTCAGCCCTGGGCTGGGGATCATCACAGGCTCAAATGTTCCCCATCACCATCAGAGCCAGGTGGAGGGGCTTTGGTGACTTTTTTCTGAGACAAGGTCTCATATGAGGCACAGGCTGACCTTAAACTTACTGTGTAGCCCAAACTGGCCTGAAACACAAAAATCATCCTGCCTCAGCCTCCCAAGGTGCTGGGATCATAGGCAGGGGTCGCCATGCCTGGTATCCATAGGGCGGTTTTAAGACTGGGCTGCTCCCTAGAAAGACTCCATTTATCAAGCATTTGTTGCTTGCCAGGCTCTGAGTGCTCCTGCTCTGTGCCTCTGCTGGCCCATCTGAAACACGGGCAGGTTCAAAGCTGAGGACAGGTTGAGGCACCCTGCCAGCGCCAGGCCTGGTCCCGAAGTGACTAGTACCAAAGCCTTTGGTGCAGAGCCTGACTGAAAACACAGTCCTCACTCCCAGCATCTCTGCAGGGGACCTCAAATGGGTCACATTCTTGTCCTGGGCCTCAGATGACCCATGCAGGAAAACAGTCGCCATGGGACATGGGAGTCACAGCAAGCCCGTGGCAGCTGGTGCCCTGCGTGGTGTCCATGCATCCTGCACCACTGGGGTGCAGGTGGGCGGGCTGAGCTGCTGCTCAGATGGTGACACCGACTCCACCTGTGTGTGACCTCACCCCCAGGGGGGCTGTAGAACCCTGAGGGTTCTGTGAGGTCGCACATTCCGCCCGCAGACCCAGGAGAGGGACGCAGAGCGTCGGAGGCCAAGGACACTGCAGGTGCAGACAGAGAGGCCAGGACAGGGCCAAGTGTCACAGTGGGAGCCCAAACACCATTGGTCCAGCGGTTCCACAGGGTCCACGACGCCCCCCGGCCTGGCTCGGGCACCACCCCTGCTGCCAGGCCACCATGGTCCTTGGCTGGCTGTGGCTGCCTCTGCTGCTACTGGCGACCACGCTGCCACAGGGCACGGCAGGCATCAAGCACTGTTTCTTCTGCGAGCTGACTGACTCCTTGATCTGCCCAGGCACCCGCATGCACTGCGGGGACGAGGAGGACTGCTTCACGGGCCGCGGGGTGGCCCAGGGCATGGGGCCTGTCATCAACAAAGGCTGCGTGCGCACCACCAGCTGCGGCCGCGAGGAGCCCGTGAGTTACATGGGCCTTACCTACACCCTCACCACCTCCTGCTGCTCCGGCCACCTGTGCAACCGAGGCAGTGGCCCCACAGGCCACCTGACAGTCACAGCCGCCACCAGCCTGGTGCTGGGCCTGCTACTGCTCCGACACCTGCTGTGATCCCGGGCTTGGGACCGGCCTCGCCCCCACGCCACTTCCTCACCCGACCCTTTCTCCCCATTAAATGACCCTGGACAACCTCTTGTGGCCACAGCTTCATCTGTTCTAAGAGAGCCACTGTCCATGGTTTGGCCTTCCTTTCTTTCTTTCCTCCTTTTTTTTATTTCATTTTTTGAGACAGGGTCTCACGTCACATTGTACAGGCTGGGCTTCAACTCAGGATGGAGCCTGAGGCCAGCCTTGAAATTCCAGCGATCCTCGTGTCTCAGCCTCCCGAGTACTGGGATCACAAGCATGTGCCACCATGCCCAGCTGGACTGCTGTATTTCGCTGACTCTGAGAGGTGTATCTTTTCACCCTGGGATCAAGATGCTTCTTTCCATTGATGGTACCTTAGAGCTGAGGAAATACAGTATAGTGACACAGATGTTCACTGAGGTGCCGGGTTCCACACTCTCAGAGCCTTCCTTGAGGTTGGGAAGGTGGACACACCTCATTCCAAGACATCCCAGTTCAGCTAGCCTCGTTTTGGTTTGGTTTGCAGATACTGGGTATTGAACCCAGGGCCTTCCCACTGAGTTGCATTTCCAGCCCTTTCTACTTTTTGAGTCAGGATCTTGTTAAATCGCTGGGTTGCCCAGGCTGCCTCCACTTCCCTTCTGGCCTCTCAGAGTGTCCGGATTCCAGGAATGTGGCCCCACACAAGGGCGTGACATCCGGGAACACTGTCAGAAATGCTTGGTCTCGGGCTCCTCCCAGGCCAGGTGGAGAAAACTGCCACAAACAGGAAATCCTCTGGGGCGGGGCTCTGAGACACAGGCTGACAACAGTCACTCTAGAGCCATGGGTCTCAGCGGGGCGCTGCTGGGGTCCAAGGGCACTCAGCACGGTTTCTGCTTCACCTAACTGGGGGCAGCGTCCTCCAGTGCACGTGGCGCCCCCAACAGTCAGTCCAACCACGAGTGGCTCGGTTAGCAAATTTGTTCCAGGAGGCTCACACCTAGTTCCCTCTTCTGTAGCAGTAGAAGCTGATGCCCAGAGAGGTGCAGCAAGTCGCCCACAGTCACAAAGCAAGCAGCTAGCTGGAATCCAGGCCACCCACCTCGGAGTCCTTCCAAGGCCAACCAGAGAAAGGCCCTTGACCAGGGAGCCACAGCTGCTACCCCCAGCCCGCTGTTGAAGAGGCCCACAAGGGGGCGCTGCCCATGCCCTGAGCCCCGTGCACAGAGCAGGGTCAGGATGTCGGGGTGGGGGGCCATACCTGTAAGACCCTGAGATGACCCTGTCGCCGTCCAGCAGCACAAACTTCTCCTGCATGTCGCCGCTCACCTGCCGTCGCCAGCGACTCTGGAAAGTGCAGCCCCGCACAACTCGGATGTCCAGGTTCTAGGGGGACAGTGGGGAGGCCGGGTGGAGGCTCAGGGTCCCCCCACCCACTCAGCGGCCCAGGAAGCCACAGGAGGGCGCACCTCTTCCCCACAGTGGTGTGGAAAGGACCCTCCCACCGACCCTGGACCCTGAGGAAGGCTGCTCCTCTGCTGCATGCGGGTGCTAGGGTGGTGGGGGCACCTGGATCCCTCAGTCCTGCCCCTACCTCTGTGGCCCAGGGGTTCACTCGCAGCTGCCCAGCCAATGTCAGGAAAGCCGACAGCCGCCGACGGTCCAGGAGCAGGTACACGGGCACCCAGCGGCGTGTGGCCGCATCCACTAGGTCCGAAAGCAGGTCTGGGTCAGTGAAGACGTCCATGGCCACAGCAACCAGCTGCAGTGGGGAGAGGGGAGGTGGACATGTTGGGGGAGCCCAGAGCTGCAGGGACCCAAGGCAGAAGGGGGCCTGGCATCAGGGCTCTGGAGGCTCTGAGGGCCTGGCCTCTGTTGTAAAACTTCAGGGGAGCTGACGGGGGAAACTCCAGGACTTTGAATGAGAAATGGTAGCCTTTCTAAGGCCCCCAGCCTTGAACTGCTGGAAAACTGCCATAAGAAATCATATCCCCATGTCAAGCACATGCCTGGAATCCCAGAGCTACGGAGGCTGAGGCAGGAGGATTGCTGTTAGTTGAAGGCCAGTCTAGGTTGTGTAGGGAGCAGCTTCTCAAAGAAGGAAAAAACAAATCATGTCCACAAGGTGAAACTTGTCCCCAGGCTGGAATGCATGACCAGATCAGCTCTGCTCCTGGTCAGCTGCTGGACACCTTCACAAGACCCTAGGTAACTGAACCTCTGGGTCTCAATGAATAGCCTGAGTATGGGGACAGTAGGGCTGACCTACTAGACCATGAAGGCATGCCTTAGGGACCTCATCATGCTTGAGGGCCAGGACGAAACACAGACTCAACAATCAGATAGTCCAGGTTCAAATTCCTTCAGCCACTTACACAACCTGCCTCAATTTCCCCATCTCCTCAATGGGCACGAGTCTCACCTCACAGGGCTCTTGGAGGACCACGGGAAAGACTTGGCACAGGAGGTGACACTGCTTACTGAGAGCCCAGGCCCTCTGAGGCTGTGGGAGGTGTCTGCATCCTCTCTGGGGGAGCACAGGGCCCCTGGCCTTGTGACAGCAGGACATGGAGATGCCTGAGGCCCAGGCAGGGTCACAGCTCTGTTCAAGGGGCATGGATGCTGGAAGGGGATGGGTCCTGTGGAGTAGACTTGTGGACACACAAGTCCCAGAGCCCAGGGAGAGACAGCGGGGACCTGGTAGGTGAGAACTGAGGAAAGGATGCAGGCCGCATGACAACACCCACCTTGTGGGCAGCCTGGATTTCTCGGCGCACCAGCTCCTTGAGGGGTGGGTGGCCCTCACTGGGGGGCTGGGTATACAGCTGTGCCCGAGTGATGCCCTTCCAGGCGCCATCCTCTGGCCAGCCCAGCCGCAGCACAGGCGCCGGCTCCTCCGACTGCCCAGGCCAGTAGGTCAGGCTGCCCACAGCCCCTCCTTCTGCGGCCCCGCTGAGCTCCGGCCCGGCTTCTGTCCAGTCCTCAGCAGCCTCGGCCAAGGCTCGCACTTCCTCTCCGCTCAGAAAGGGTCGCAGCCCCTCCTGACGCAGGTGAGCCTGGAAGGCTTCGGCACCCTCGCTCAGCAGTGCCTCGATCGCCAGCCGCTGGCCCTCGGAGTACAAGAAGGCAGGGCTGGCCTCGGTCAGTGGCAGCAGCCCAGACCCCGCCTCTGCCTCCTCCAGCACCGCCAGCTGGGAAGCTGCCATCGGGCCGTGGAAGGACGGGCCGGGTCACCCAGCCTCCAGCTGTCCCTAGAGGATGGACCATCGGGGGCCTCCCCACGGCTCCCTGCGCTGTCCCTGGGCCACAGCTCCAACGATCGGGTGACCCAATGACTGCCTGCCCTGCCAGGCTCTCCGGGGCAGCACCTTCAGTGAACCCCACTGTCTAAGGGCCAGGTGGAACACCTGACACTGTCTCCAACTGCTTCTGCTCAGCCCCCACAGCCTCCAGCCCTCTGGCCACAAAATGCTGCAATCCAGGTTGCCCCAAATGTATCGGGCCACCCAAGCTACCCTACTGTCCCTAACCAATGGCACAGGGACTCTGCCAACTGGATCCTCTGATGATCTCAGGGCTCCCACCTGCCACCCCTCACCCAGTGCCCAGGATCCACCAGCCCTCCCCGGGGTGACCGTGACCACCCATCTAGGTGGAGACTGGCATCCTCAGGCTGCACTGCACCCTGGCCATGCCAAGCCCACTGGCTTGCAGGAACCCCACCAGCCCACACCTTCTTCCTGGTCTGGGGTCTCTCTACATCCTGTCCTATCCCCTGCCCAAGCCCCAGATCTCTTCAACCCAAGTACCTGGCTTCCCCAGAGACCACAGCAATGGCCCCACAGAGAAAATGGAGGAACAAAGCCAGGCCTCTTCCTGCCCCAGCCCTGCTACCCTCCTATGGCTTGCCTTCTCATGTCGGAGGAATAGGGCCGAAGGCCTCCTTCTCTGGCACTCTTCCTGTCCCTGTGCAGGGCCCAGGGAACCCAGCCCCTAGGGTAAACACAGGGAGGGCCCTGAGGGCACCACCTCGGGGACTGGCCACCTGCCCAGCTTCCTCATCCATTCCCATGCCCGCCCACTGCAACTCCGCCCCAGGTGCCCTGGGAGAGGATGACAGCAGGAGGAAGCAGGTGTGGGAACACTTGACAACCAGGAAGGCACCAGAACTCAGGCTCTCAGGGGCCCAACAGGCGCAGTGAGGACACTGCACATGCGCTAAGCCAAGGCTGCTGTCAAAAGTATGCCCCGAAGGATGGGTATGGGTGACTTTCTACACATGATGTGCCCAACTTGCAGGCACCAACCACCCTCTTATACCATCCCAGCCCATCCACCAAGACACACAGAGGGCTGTCGGAATCCAAATCTTTTTATTAACAGAGAAGGGTCCAGCACTAGTTCTTGTAGCCTCTGCTGGCCCGTCTGCCTCTGGCGCGCTCGAACTTCCGGCCCTTGGAGCGGACATAGGGTCTGTAGGAAGAGTAAGGGAGAAGCCCATCTTACACAGCAGCAGGCCCTGGTTTCCAGCCTGACCCTCAAAGCCAGCTGTGCTCACCCCCCACCCACAATGGGTGGCAGGGATGAAGGGGGGCACCAGCAGGCCCTGTACTTACTTGGTGTGGCTGTGTGGGGTTCCAGGGGCCTTGCCGAAATGCCGGTACACCTCTCGGCCCTTGCGTGGACCTGGGGACAGGAGCAAGGGATCAGCAGGGTCCTGCACCTCAACCACCTGCAGGAAGCCACCCACCCCCTTCAACCCTCACAGGGCTGAGCGGAACTGGGACACACCCTGACCTCCACCAAGTGCCACTTACCAGAGAGCAGGACTGTGCCTCGGCCCTTGGGGGACTCCAGGGCCAGCTGGTCAAAGGTGAGGATCTTCCCCCCAGCCTTAAGGATGCGGCTTCGGGCGCGGCTGGTCACACGCAGGGCACAAACCTGGGGGAGACAGGGTAGGTGGGGTCACCACTCATTGCCCTGGCTGCCTGCAGAACCAACACCAACCTAATCCTAGGAGCTCCTAGGAGCACAGTGCTGCCTTCTAATGACCTTACATCATTATGTACAAAAATTACAAGACTTGTTTTGGCTTTTTGAGACAGGGTCTCACTATGTAGAGTTCAGGCTGGCCTAGAATTGACAGTGATCCTCCTGCCTCAGCCTCCCAAGTGCTGGAATCACAGGCATGTGCCAACCCTGTGGCACTTTAAACTGCAAAGAAACCCACATTCGAGCCCAGGCCATCTGGCTCAAGAGCCAACATGTTCAACAGGATCCACGAGCAGCAGCCCAAGGACCCCTCTCCAGGAGAGCCCCACCCCACCCTAAAAGCCACCCAAATGTGTGAGTTGCCTGCTGCACTCCAAAGAGGTGGCCATCACCACAGCAGGCCAGGCTCCATACCAGGTGTGACACTCACCTTCAGCTTGGGCACCTCCAGAACCCGCACATCATCTGTGACTGTCCCCACAACCACTGCTGTCTTGTTTTCCCGGCCAGGAAGCTTCATCTTCCGGATCTTGGAAAGACAAGTCACAGGCTATCTGGGTTTCTAATTCCATCCACTTCCAGCCCTGGGACAGTCTCAGCTAAGCCCATCTCACCTCCCACAGCACATCGAGGCTCTCAGAGATCTACTCAGGGAAACTTTGGGGTGGGGATCAGGGATCGAAGCCACTGACTGATCACTTGCAAGGCAGGTGCTTATGCCACTGAGCTAAACCAGCCCCTACTCCAGGAAACTTGATGAGAATATCCAACAAACTCCTTCTGGAAGTTTTTTTATTTTTGTGGTTTTCAGTACTAAAGACCAAATCCAGGATCTTTGCACAGGGTGACCTACACATCACTAACGCTTTTTGAGACAAGGTTTCGTTAAGTCACTAAATTGCCCAGGCTGAGGTCCAACACAAGATTTTCTGGCCTCAGCCTCCCAGACTGCTAGGATTACAGGCACACCATACCTGGCCTTGGACTTGAAGCTCAACTACTTCCACCTCACAATGAGCCAGAAAGGCAGCCAAGGGGCCAAGCCAGTAGTCTAGAGATACTCAACTCCAAGTAAAGCTCAGAGCTCTGCACCCACTGCTCACTGACAACCCAGGGACACCAACACTGCCATGGCACAGCTCAAGGTCCCCACACTAGCCACTCACCATCCGGGAGAGGGAAAGAGGTGGCCGGTTGGTGCGACTCATGAACAACCTCTTCAGCACCACCTGGTTGAAGGTGGAGTTTGTCCGTCGGGCCAGAAACCTGTACAGCTGAGAGAGACGGAAGAAGAAGCCTGAGAGCACAGGATAGAGGAAAACGAACCTTTTAGGCTGGAAGGTTCTGATGACTTTTCCCATTCTGTGGAGCCTGGGGAGAGTAGATGGTGGTCCTTCCTGGAAACACAGAAAATCTCCTCCCCACTCCCCAAAGTGCTGACAGCCCAGCAGCTGAAGGCACTAAAGCTCAGTACCAAAAAAGGGAAGATTTGGGCGGCCCTGCCCCAAGACCCTGGGCCCCAACCTCACCTTGACCAACAGCCTCAGGTAGATGTCCTGGCTCTTGGGCTCCTTGCGCCGGACCTTTCGGTCCTTGTTGTGGCGGATGTCGACTCCCTGGAAGGATAAAGGGGAAACTGTGATTCTGACCCTGAATCTGGGCAATTATGCCACCAATGTTCCCAACAACTGTCCCAGACAGAGCAGAGCCCCGGGCAACAGTACTCCAGGGCCACCAGCGAGCCCTCTCAAAAGGGAAGGAAAGCAGCCTGCAAATTCATCAGCACCTGTAATGTCTTAGCACAGTGGCCATGCAGACCTGAAAATGGCCAATTCCCAACTAACTGTATCTTCCCAAGTACACAGACCTCACTTAGGTTCCCCAAACTGCCTCTCATAACAAAAGGATAACCAGAAATAAGCAATACTCTCAGGAACAATGACAACAAACTCCTTTTTAAGATAACACATGAAAAGCTTAAGATAATACAGCAATAAACTCTCAGTAACAATGACAGTGAACTTCCATTTAAGATAACACATGATCTGAGAGCTGCCCCCACTCGAAAACTAAGAAAACAGGAAAGTCCATTATTTCCACCACGCCTCCTTCCTGCTTTTCTGAATAACCAGTTTTTCAGACCATTATTAACTCTAGGTAAACACGTATTAACAGCTTTCATGAATTCAAAGCTTAAGCCCTTCTGATGAAAAACACCTACGAATTATTTCTTTCCCACTCATGTGAGGGAACCTGTGAGATAGGCCTACTATGCTTCCAGGGAAAAAGCAAAAGAACGGTGGCCCAGGCCTGGAAAACCACATCATACAGAGGCTGCAACTGGAACGTTAAGTCGGCTTGGGTGCAACACCTGGGTCTCTCGACCCTCGATTCCCCTAATTATACTTCCCAGACTAAGGAGCGCCACGTCCAGGTAAAGCAGCAAAGCAAGTGGTTAAAAGCTATACCTCCAGCCACACAGGGCCGCATCCCATCATTTTCCCTCCCTATACCTCAATGTGGTGGTCTGTTCACGGAGACCACTGGAATACACGGTTGTGACCCATGCTGAATCTCTTGGTCCCTAGAGTAGCATCCTCGTCCCGGAAATCGCTTCCCTCCGACACTGGCGAAACCCCTGCATCCCTCTGGCACACCCTCAGCCCCAAACCGCTGAGGATGGCGTCGGATGATCATGCCTTGAATACCCCAGGGCGCGCTCACCATGATGGCGACTCCTCCTTAGTCAAACCCGGAAAGAGAGAGCGATGCCGGGAGGGGCGGGGAAAGCCTCCAGCGCGCGACGCCCTAATGACGTTTTACGAGCCCGGCGCGACGCTCTACCACGAGCCGGCCTTCTCTATGGTGAGTTGGATGACTCCCTAGAAGGCTGACCACAAAATAGAGCGCAGGAATAATCAAAGAGAAACAAGCGCCACGCGCAGGAAGGAAGGGTCAGCACGTCGGGGAGCCTTTCTAGATCTACTCAGGCGCTGTTCTCTATATTCTTCCGGAAATACAGGAAACGGAGCAAGAGAGATGCGTGGAGCTAGGAAGAGGCATTGTGCTGTGGCGCTCTGGCCGGACACCGGGGGCCTCTCTGTGACTTCGGAGGACCTGGTGGGCCGGGTTGTGGTGGTGAGGAGGCGGGGCTGGCGGGTCTAGTCCTCTCCAAGCGACTTGCGTTTGTTTAGATTAACGGGTACCTTCTTTAGCGCTGAACTCTCAAGCGCAGCTAAAGCTCGGAAGTTCTGCTAGATTTCCAATCTGGGATCACTTTGCTGCAACTCTAGAGCACCCTGCATATCTACCTTGTTGGTTGCACTTCTACCGACCCCTAGATGGCCCTTCTCTGACCACCGGTTCAGCCTCTCCCGCCAGGGAGGGGCTGCTTTTTTCTTCACCTGAAAGGTTCAGCCAGCCCAGCGGTTTCGATGTGAGGGAGGTACAAGGTACTGGGATCCCAGGGATCGCGTCCTGAGGGTCCGGCCTGAGGGGTGGAATGGAGGGAAGGTGGGTGAAATCTCCTACAAAAGTGCGACCCAGAGCTAGAAATTCAAAGAGGAAGAAGAATGGATCCTCCGTGGAGTGGGGATGGAGACTTGAGGGTGGGAGGAAGAATAAGGGGATGGGGCCCCAGAGAGAGGTGGAGACGTAGAAAAATGATGAGACGGGATTTGCCCAGACTGTACCCAAATTCTAATCCTGGCTCTGCTACTATTAGTGATGTGACCTTGGCTAAGTCACTCTCTGTGCTGTACTTTTCCATATTTAGAAAAAAGGAATGATAGTAGATCTGACACATGGGATGCTTTCCGAACTTATACCGGTTAATAAAATTCTTTTTGGGCATTATTTTTGCACTAAGTGCTCAATGGCAATTTGCCTTGTAAGTAACACTTATTTTTTCGACAGAACCAGACTGACTGGTTGAGGCAGTAACCAAACTGTCTCATTTTTCTATCCTCCACAGAGCCTAAACCAGGGTTGCACGGTGAAACCTGACTCCCTTGTACATTCCAGACTGCCATTCTATGGCCTCAGACCCAGGGCCAAGGTCTGTTGACATAACAGGACAGAGGGCCACAGATGAACAAACACCTTGAATCAGAGGAGTCTGGGAATCAGGTAAAGGTTCATCTGAAAGCCAGGGTCGATATTCTGTGGGGCTACATCAGCTGACACCTTTCCATCACTGGCTTTGGACCTCCTCTTCAGCCTTGAGTGAATAGCTTTCTCTCCATTTTCCAGCCAGGGTAGGTATGGCCAAGAATGGAGGGGTTCTATAGAGTCATGCAGCAAATCCATGTGAGCTGTAGGTCCCCATCCCCTTTTCTTCCTCCATCTGCTTCCGTTTCATGTTCCCTTTTCTCTAACCTGATGACTCAGAGAAATCTCAGCTTTTTTGATCGGGGCTTTCTTTGTTCCTGAGCTCCAAGCTCAGTTGCTCTGTTCCCTTGCCTCAGTCTTTCTGGGATTTTCTCTATCTTTGACTTGGTCTGCATGAACTGTTAATGTGGGATGGATGCAGAATATATTTTGCTTGGCAGTAAGTGAATTGTTTCCTCTGCGCGCGTGCACACACACACACACACACACACACACACACCCCTATGTGGTACTCAGGATTGGGCCCCAGGCACTATACCATTAACCGCATCCCCAGCTGTTTTTTTTTTTTTTTCTTTTTGAGACAGGGTCTCGTTAAGCTGGCCCAGCTGGCCTTGGACTTGTGGTCCTCCTGCCTTAGCCTCCCAAGTTCAGCAGCTGAGATCACAAACATGTGCCACCACCCACAGCTCCACTTGTCCAGTTTTATCCCTGTCTCACTCTGCATATGTCTCTCCGCAGTTCTGCCTGACTAGATCTTTGCCTCTGTGTGTCTTCTTGTGTCAACATCTTCCCCTTTCATCTCTCAGTTTCTCTCAGTTTCTGACTTCAAACGTTCTTTCCCTTCCTCACCCCTGGCCTAGAGGGTTCTCCCTTTGTGTCTGTCCTGCTATGTGGTTAGTCATTTCCTGGCCAGATGTTTATCTCCTGCTGCCTTTACTCTGGTTGGAATCCAGAGTAAATAGTGAATTAATGAACCTATCTGCAGAGTTCATTCCAGAAATGCCTATCTCAGTCTGTTTTTGTCATTTTCTGGAATTTCTTGTGCCTGTCCCTTCCACTTTCTCAACCCCACTGTTTTTGTCTGATTTGTGTCTCTGCTTTTCTTGTAACTGTCTGAAAGACACCCTACCCGCTTGTTACCCTGCCTTAACACACTTAAAACCTATCTTTGACTCTGCTTCTCTGGGTCTCTGTCTTCCTTTTTGTCTACTTGCTTTTTCGTCCAGGTTTATTATTAACTCCGGTTACTTATCTCTGGACCTCTTGCTGTGTTAAGGCTTTGTGTAGGCAGTGAAAGCCCTCCTATTCCACGCCCCTTTTCTTTTACAAGCTCTAGGGATGGGCCGCCAGGATTACTTGCCCTCAACAAAGAAGGCAGCATCAACGTTGTCTGCAAGGGTGTGATGCCACCTCGGCTATGTGTGTGCCCTCACTTACCATGGCGGCAGGCCTCCAGAAGCGCAGTGCATCGCTCAGTTCTTGCGCTTGCTCCCGGGAGCGTAAGGGGACTGAGCGCTAAACTCGCGAGTTGTCTGGCCCCGCCTCCCCGCGCTTTCATTGGTGCGGTATAGGCCAGCTACACATCCATTGGCTCAGCGGATGCACACCCTCCCCCCACCCAGGTCTGATTGGGGGCTGTCATGCAGACATGAGGGGTCTACCCAAAGGAGGACTCAAGGAGGGTGCTAGGGTACTGGCAGGGACCCCAGTGGGGGGGGGGGGCGGAGAAGGACCGGCGAACGAAGAGGAACAGACATCCAGCCCGGCATCTGGAGTGCAGGGGTGGGAGATGGAAATAGAAAACCAGGACCACGACTGAGGCATCCAGGAATGGAAGCCCAGGCCCAGAAGTGGAGTGGCAGCGGACCGTGACTTAAGCTCTGGTTTGGCAGTTTGTGGGTGGAGGGCCAGGGCCAGGCTTAGGTACTCAGGACAGAGCCCCAGACACAGAACAGAGGCTGTAAAACTAGGGCTTTGTGCCTGAGCCTGATTTGAGGTTTTCACGGAGGAGAGGGGGCAGACACACAGGGTCTTGGGGAGCCTGCTGGGGCGGGGTGGGAGTGTTGGGCAGCAGAGGCCACTCCTGAGGACAAGTCCACTGATGGGGTGAGGGTGTGTGTCCATGGCTGCTGTAGGGCGGACAGGTGAGAGGCAGGAAGCTGGGCGGGCTAGCAGAGGACAAAGGTGAGCAGGAAGAGCAGGTGAGTGGCAGCTGAGCAGAAGGGCCTGTGGGGAAGGGACCTCACTCCTGGCTCTGGCTGTTTCCTGGAGAGCAGGCAGCAGTCACTCAGGTTAGTGCTCAGAGACAGATTCTCAGCCCCTTCCTCTTTTCAGCACTTGCAACCTTTGGTTTCCATTTTACAGCCCTGCCTCCCAGCTCTTCTCTGTGTCCTCAGCTTTCCCTGCCTTTCATCTTTTGGCTGAGAAACTCTCTTTCATCAGTGCAGCTTCATCTCAATGAAGCTCTTCTTTTCTGCCCAGTGTTCTCTGTCCTCTTCCTGCACCTGTCTCAGCAGTTGGTTCTACTGTCTTCACCTGCAGATTGCTCAGTGTGCACGAGGGGGTTACTTTCAGCCAGCCAGTCCAGCCTGCCTATTTCTGAGTCTGTCTTTACCTTCTGATTCCCTCCTGTGCTGTATTTTTTCCTAAAGCCTTATCATCGCCCAACACATTAGTAGTTTACTGTCTCATCCTGCCTTTCTGCTTTTGATTGGAATGGGATTTTTGTCCGTTTTCTGCTGTTTGCTGTGCGCACCATGACTGATGCACAAAGGGTCCTAAATAGCCACAGAGGAGGACCTAGTGACCATTTGCATGTCGAGGCCTCTCAGGGTGCTGGCCTTCCTGTGCAAGTGCCTGTGTCCTTCAGGTTTCCACATCTGCACAAGCTTGTGTGTCACTGGTGGGTCCTTCCCATCTGCCACTGCCTCATTGTCCTGTCCACAGTGCCTGCCTCTCCTTCCATTTCCCAATCTCCGATAAGGGCCCTGGACTCTGACCCTTCCTTCCTCCCTCTCCACAGAAACCGGAGCAGCAGGTCACCAGGAGTTGGGGCCACAGGCCTAGGAGAGCCCTGGACAGGGCTGAGGCCATGGCCCCCTCACCAGCACCACTGGCTGCCAGCACCCCACTCTTGCATGGCGAGTTTGGCTCCTACCCGGCTCGAGGCTCACGATTTGCCCTCACCCTCACATCACAGGCCCTGCACATACAGCGGCTGCTCCCAAAGCCTGAAGCCCGACCCCGGGATGGCCTTGTCCCCCTGTCTGTGATCTCAGGCTGCTGCACTCTGCGAAGCCACAGTCCCTCAGACTCAGCGGCCTACTTGTGCATCTATACCTACCTGCGGGGCCGGCGCGGGGGCCGCCGCCGAGCTGCCCGAACCTTTCAGGCCGATGGGGCTGCAACCTATGAGGAGAACCGTGCAGAGGCCCAGCGCTGGGTCACTGCCCTAATGAGTCTGCTCCGAGGATTGCCACTGCCTGGGGAAGAGGGTGAGGCCCCATGCAGCCGCTCTGGCCTGCAGAGAGGCCTCCATCTACAGGTGTTGCTCTTTGTGGGTTTACATTGAGATTAGGACACAGACAGGGGTGGGCTACAAAAGGAACAGAAACAGGCAGAGAGAAAGGAATTGTCAGCTGCTTTCCGGCTCAATGCTGTGTCAGTCCCAACCCCCTTCCCAGGCTTGACCACAGACAGATGATTCAGAGGCTCCCTGGCACTGACAGCAGTAGACAGGAACAGTCGCCACTTCATGTGAAGGTTGCCAACACAGATATCTGAGGCTCCAATAGAGAGAGAAGGCTTTTGGGTGGAACCTTTACAGCCTCCAGGGGCCTCCAGGGATCCCCATCTGGTGAACCTTCCTTAGGCTGCTGTGGTCCTGCTGGCTGGCTGTGGCTCCTAAGGGATGGGGACAGTGAAGGAGCCTGATCCTGGATAACAGATGTTCCAGGTCACACTGCCTTTGTCTTCCTCAAGAATGTGGGCCCAGAGGGCACTTGGTATCACACCCCAACTTTGTCCCAGCCCTCCCTGTCCCATGGGGTTGCAGCAAACCCTGCCCTCTCTCTCTCTGCAGAGATCACCCCTGAGCTCCTGCCACGGCCACCCCGGTTGCTACTCTTGGTCAATCCCTTTGGGGGACGGGGCCAGGCCTGGCAGTGGTGTGAGAGCCACGTGTTGCCCATGATTTCCGAAGCTGGGCTGTCCTTCAACCTCATTCAGACAGGTATGGGAAGGTACATGGGACTCGGGGCACAGCCAGGACTCCTGGGTTCAGGGAGATGGGTGTTGTGGGGAGAGACAGCTGCCTAATCTTCTGGTTTGTTCCTTTAGAACGACCTAACCATGCCCGGGAGCTGGTCCAGGGACTGAGCTTGAGTGAGTGGGACAGTATCGTCACCCTCTCAGGAGACGGGCTGTTCTATGAGGTAGAGAAGCCCCTGCCCTTAACCCTGAGCTCTGGGGGACCAGAGAGTTAGAAGCTGGGCCCCACACAGCTGGTCTCCGCCCTCCAGGTGCTGAATGGGCTCTTAGATCGCCCAGACTGGGAGCAGGCAGTGAAGATGCCCTTGGGGATCCTCCCCTGCGGCTCGGGCAACGCGCTGGCTGGAGCTGTAAACAGGCATGGAGGGTAGGTTGGGCACTCCTGTTGCGGAGACACTCGGGGCAGGGTGAGGTCTCCTGGGGTAATGGGGACCCCGATCTCCCCTTTAGCCAAACCCACTATCAGTCCACAAAATCAGCCTGGTTGCGGGATGCCGCACTGTTAGCCCCAGGCACCGCAGCCCATCTCATTCTCAGCTGGGTCCCAGCAGCTAGAACTGTGGCACACAGACCTGGCTGCACTGGGCTCTGGGACATGGGGTCCCTGGTCTTGGTGCAGTGTACGTCACCATTTTTGTCTCACCACCCTGTGCTTCAAGTCTCTCACCAGTGCTGTTTGTTCTTTCCTACCCCGGCCATGTATCCTGGGCTGTGAAGGTTTCCACCTGCCCTGGGCCTGGACCTGCTGCTCAACTGCTCCCTGCTGCTTTGCAGGGGTGGCAGCCACCCACTGGACCTGCTCTCTGTGACACTGGCCTCAGGCGCCCGCTGTTTCTCCTTCCTCTCTGTGGCCTGGGGCTTTGTGTCGGATGTGGACATCCAGAGCGAGCGCTTCCGAGCCCTAGGCAAAGCCCGATTCACACTGGGTACAGTGCTGGGCCTCGCCGCATTGCGCAGCTACCACGGACGTCTCTCCTACCTCCCCACCACTGTGGAGTCAGCCTCACCTGGCCCTGCCCAAGGCCTGCCCCGGGCAAAGTCAGAGCTGACCTTGGCCCCGGCCCCACCTCCGACTGTGGCACACTCCCCCTTACACCGCTCAGTGTCTGACCTTCCCCTGCCTCTTCCCCTGCCCCAGACTGCCCTGGCCTCTCCCAGCTCACCTGAGCCCATGCCTGTGCAGTCCCTCAATGGTGGGGTCCCAGAGCTGGCGGGGGACTGGGGTGGCCCTGGGGAAGCTCCACTGTCCCCAGACCCACCCCTGTCCCAGCCCTGTGGCTCTCCCAAGGCAACTACGCTGTCTCCTATCACAGAAGGGCGCCCAGAAACGCCAACAGCCTGTGGGCTCCCGCCCCACACCCCTGCTGCACCAGCAGCTTCTACTGAGGGCCCAAAGGACCATCTGCTGCCACCGTTGGGTAGCCCACTGCCCCCAGGTTGGGTGACACTGGAGGGAGACTTTGTGCTGGTGTTGGCCATCTCCCCGAGCCACCTGAGCGCTGATATGCTGGCGGTCCCCCATGCGCGCTTTGACGACGGTGCGGTGCACCTGCTGTGGGTGCGGGGTGGAGTTTCGCGGGCTATGCTTCTGCGCTTATTCCTGGCCATGGAGCACGGGAGCCATTTCAACCTGGGCTGCCCACAGGTCGGCTATGCCCCGGCCCGTGCCTTCCGTCTGGAGCCGCTCACGTCCCGTGGCTTGCTCACGGTGGATGGAGAGCTGGTGGAGTACGGGCCACTGCAGGCGCAGATACACCCGGGTCTCGGTACTTTGCTCACAGGGCCTCCAGGCTGCACCGGGCAGGGACCCTGAATCCACTGGGAATGCGCCAGTGACAGGACCCAGGCTACAGCGTGGCCTGATTGCTAGAGTTGGGGCGGCGCCCCCTAAGTGCAAGGGTCCGGGACCTGCCATCAGGGAACCGGAAGTGATGCTGGAGGGTGGTCCGATCTCATCCCCTGGGTAGTGCCTGACTGGTGAGGGCTCAGTTTGCGCTGAGGGGGACGCTAAATTGGTCCTCACTTTGCCTCCAGGTCGCCGCGGGTCTGGGCGGCTGAGGGTAGAGACTGCCTCACACATTGTCCAATGATGGGACCTGGAATGTACGAGCTGGGGGAGGCCGTAGTTAATTGGCCATGCAGGACTGGGTCTCGCCCTATCCACTCTGGTGCCTCCACTTAACTGGCCAATCAGCCTAAGGGGCGGGTCCCCGAGTCTGACTGATTTGCACTAATACCGCCCCCTACGGGTGGGGACGGGGAAATTCACTTCTGTGTCCTGTTACCCTCTGTCCCCAATTTAAAAAGCAATTGAAAAGGTCTATGCAATAAAGGTAGTCGCTTCATTTCTAGACCTTTGCCCCTTCCTCCATCCACAGCCCACAACTAGACCTTCCAGTAACTCCTGGCTTTTGCGGATAGCCATCAGGTCTGCTCGCCAGCTGCCGCCAGTGTAAACTGCTGGCCTCACACCGGGGTCAGTGGCTGCCTTGTCCCCCACAACAGCTGGCTCTAGGGTTCTCAAGATTTATTCAGGTTCGTGTTAATGAAAGCGGTGGAAGGATGGGGTCCCCAGTGTGTCCGGAGCATACACGGGACCCTCCCCGCTCCCACAAGGGAGGGGGTAGGCTCACTTTTTCTTAAAAATATAAATGTATTTATCTGCATCATCAGGTCCCTGGGGCACCCAGCTGGCCAGCCTGTGGGCCACAGAGCGGGGGAGGGAAGAGGCAGCAGGGCACAAGTCTGAGGTGGGGAGAGGAAAAGGGTTCTCACAGGGCTCCATGCTGGGCCTGGTATCGAGACAGCACCGCCCGGTAGTGTGACAGCTCCTGCCGCACCGCCACCACCTCCTGCCGCAGCAGGGCATTCTCCTTCTCCAGGAAGGCTGCCCGCACTGTTATCTGGTTCTCTTTGAGCCTCCGGGCATCACGAGACCGCTTGGCTGCCTCATTGTTCTTGTACCTTCGGCTCCAATACTTCTCATCCTGGGGTACAGGGGTAGGAGGGCACTGAGGTTCAGTGAGAGAAAGGGAGGGGAAGTTTCCAGGGCACACACCCATACACATACACTTGGTCCTTGCTTAGCAGGAGAGATCAGGGATACCCCATCTCTGCTGGGATGGAATGGGTATCCAAGGGCCTGCCCTTCTTGGGCTCCTAACAAAAGCTAAGTATGAGACAGATGCCCCCTCCCCAAGCAACTCGGTTTCAAGTCTCCAAAGTGCAAAGCAGACCCCAGCCCTCCCCACTAAACAAAAGGCCCCTGCAGTTAATCCTGGTTTGCTAAGGAAGATTGTTACCTAGCAACAGAGCCTCCATCTGAGCTCTCATCTTAGTGAAGAGCATTGCCCTATCTATCACCTTTCCAGATCCTGGTTGCTAAGGAAAACTTGGGCCCCCTAATGATGGTGTTTGGCGTCTCATAAAATCTTTCCAGAGTTGTGTCTCTGCTGACCTGGTTGCCAAGGCAACCTCATCTCTCCTCAGCAAACAAAAGTGAGATCTAAGTGGTCCCAGTGATCCTGGGCAGTCTCTGACATGCTGGCTCCAAAGTGAGACCAGGGAGCTGCCTCTCCCCCAACAGGACCTGGCTATAAAGGAGTCAATTCTTAGCCAAGGTACCTATTCCATGATCTTCCCTGAGAATTATACGTAGGGTCCTCCAATCCTGGTATTTCTTGTCCTCGGTTACAAAGACCACCCAGCTCAAAAAGATGTTTCCTTTAGCCCCCTCCCCATTTAGTTACACTTTAATTCCTGATTTCTAAGGCACATCCAGTTCCTAGCAACGTGGCCCTGCAGCAGGAAAAAACTCATCTATACTGAGCTGCTAGGCAAGTTCTAGCTGCTGGGAATGGCCAAGGCAAAGACCTGTCAGAGCATCCTTACTAACAAAGACCCCAGTGCAGCACAAGCACAATGCCCAAGCCACCTAAAATGAGATGGCCTTGGTTGCTCCTGGGAGTCTCAGACATCTCACTAGTAAGAAGGCCAGGGCCTACAAACCCTGGCAAAGTCTACATCCTAGGCAGAAGCAGTCAGTCTGAAGACATCTCAAATGGGAGGGTAAAGCCTCAGCCTAGCTGGCTGCTAAGGGAATTTGGAACTTGAACCCTGCCCTGCTGAGAATTCTGGATTCCTGTGATCAATCAGACCTAGCATGGCTGGCTGAGTCTATAGCTCACAGGGACACTCTTTGTGGATCTCTGGCCAAAGTCCCTTACCCCTCAGTGCCCCTTGGCCAAGGACTTATCTTTGGCTACAGGGTAGCAAAGCCTAAGAGCTGGTGCCAGTGAGAAGCCCAGAGTATCCCAGGCACTGACCCTGTCCCAGCAACGCCTGTGCCTCATGCGTAGTACTCACCTTCTGCTCCTCTGGCACCTGAATTTTTCTTGCTTTTTTCATGATTGGCTGCGGTTTAAGTTCCTCCTCTGAGAAGCGGTGTCTCCGAGGGTCAAAGGTCTCATGACCTGGAATGCTTGATAGGGCAAGATCAGCTGGGTCGGGTTCAAAGGTCATCAGCACCTCTACAGTGTCTGGGTCCACAGGACTGGGTGTGTCTCGAGAGGTCAGGCCTTGGGGAAACAGTGTGTGTCACACAAAGCGCAAGTCCCCAGTGCCTACCACTGCTCAGACAAGTTAACTAGCACACAGAGGCCCACATGGAGTCTAACAGAGCTGGCCTACCAGGCATCAATCTCTGTCACATAAAATATAAACTTTCCCCAGGCTGCAAGGATGATTAGATATCACCAAGCCAATTCCACTTTTACAGACATGGAAACTGATGCTCAGTCATAAGTGACTGGCCCTGAGTAACACGGAAATCATGTAACAGTTTCTAAAACTTCAACACTAGTCAGGCAAGGCGGCACATGCCTACAATCCAGCACTCAGGAGGCTGAGGCAGGAGGACTGCAATTTGAGCAAGCTTGGGTGACAGAGTTCTAGCGCAGCTTGGACTGCTTAGGGAGGTGCTGTCTCAAAAATAAGTTAAATGCAGCCAGGTGTGGTGGCTCATGCCTGTAATCCCAGCACTTGGGAGACTGAGGCAGGAGGATCATTGCGAGTTTGAGACCAGCCTGGGCTACGAAGTGAGCTTAAGGCCAGCCTGAACTGCATAGCGAGACCCTGTTTCAAAAAGACAAAAAAAAAAAAAGTGACATGCAATGAAACTTTAACCCAATCACGATGGCACAGACCCACCACTTGGGAGGCTGAGACAGGAGGATCTCTGCAGGATGGACATCAGCCTGGGGTACATAATGCAACTCTGTCTCAAAAAGGTAAAATGTAAAAATAAAAACTTCAGGACTTCAGATTCACAGTGGCCTTTCTCTTCCACAGTCTAACCTGGGAATTATTTGCTAAATCGCCGGCCAAAGTTTACACCCCAGGCTATGCAGAGAATTAGACTGCAAAATTATATGACAGTTACTCGCTTGGAAAGGTGAGTGTAGAGAAATGGAAACCCTTCAGAGGTTCCAAAAGATTGGTTCTCGATAAGGGTCTGTGCCTTTAAGCGCGAGCAAACCGAGGCCAGCTGAGGACACAGGGTCCGCCGGCCAGTCACGTGCCACTGCCTGCTTCCCTCTGCCCCTCCCCCGCCTCACGTTCCCAGCCCCGCCCCCTCGCGCGTGACAACGCGCAGCACTGAGGAGGGAGCAAGGACTCACGTGGCGCGGAGTGTGCAGCTGGGAAAGAGGACCCTGCTTCTGTCTGGAGGTCAAGCCCGGGGCAGGTGCACCCAGCCATCTTGGGCCTGTGGTCCGACCATGGACACCCCAGAATCCCCTAACAGGGTCCTCTTTCCTCTGCTCCTTCGGGTCTCCATGCCACCCTCTTCTGATTGCAAAGATCTCAGGCCCCCGATCTCAGATGGTCAGTGAACACCCTGCTCCACTATTCTAAAATCCCTGGCCCCTTTCCTGAGAGCTAAAGGAGATCGGGGAGGATCCAGAATGCGGGGCTGCGGCACCTCTTATTGGGGGACCCACGGGCCTAAACGGCCAGCCTCTGTCCTGGCGACACAGAAAAAGTCTGTGCCCAGCCCTGCCTTCTCCAACTTCAGAGGAGCTAGGAGTCAGGGTCCCAGGGCTCATCCCCAGTAAATAACTTTGAGTTCCTGGTTTCCTGTCCCAGCTCCAGGAATGTCTGGACCCTCTGTTTACGTTTTCCACAGACAATTCCACGACCTCTCCGGGCAGGAGTCCTGAAATTCGGAGTCTCGAGTCTGCTCCGTGAGGATTCGGGAGACTCGGTCCCTGATCCGCCTGCGAGCTCAGAATCTGGACCCAGAAGAGTCGGTACTCCGCCGGCGGCCAGGGTCCCATGTCCTGGCGAGCAGCGCCGCGAGCCCCACACCCGGGAGCACCCCGCCTCTCCGTCGCACCTGCGCGGTGGCCGCCGGCGGCCCCCAGGGCGGGCCGGGCGGGGGCATGCCCAGGAGAGGAGCGCGGGGAGGCCGAGCCGCAGGAGCCGGGCCCCGGGGAGGGCGCGGGTGTGCGCGCGGGTGACGGCGCGGGCGACGGGCCGCCGGGGGGCGGCGGGCTGGGCGGGAGCCCGTGCTCCAGCAGGAAGGCGTCCAGGTCCACGTACTCCACGTCGCCGAAAGGCAGCGTACGCTCCCACAGCAGCGGCGCCAACAGACTCGGGCCAGGCACGGCGCCCGGGCGTCCCCGCGGGGACCCGCCGCCTCCCACCGCCCCAGCGGGGGCATCCGCCGGGCCTGCCGTCTCCAGGCCCGGCCCCGGGACTGTGGCTGCGGGCGGAGCCGCCTTGCGCTCCTTTTCCTTCAGGAGACCTGCGGGCCAGGGAAACAGGGGCGGGGTGGAGATGGGGTGCAGAAGGGATCCCCCGTGTCGGAGAGGAGGTGTAGACAAGCACACGGCGGTGATCCAGAGAGAGAAGACGAGGGAGAACAAGGACCCAGAGAGAAGAGAGGACAGAGATACAAACGGTGACAGCGATCCAAAGGAGAGGATAAAGACATTCAGCGATGGGGACAGAGGCCCAGAGGGAGGGACGGAAGTTGAGAAAGAGGGAGCAGGGACAAGGTAGGTTGGAGGGGTTGGGCAGGTGAGAGAACAAAATGACAGCTCTGTGATTGCTGCGAGTCCCCTCGCCCCTTTCTGTTCCCCACGCCAGGAAGCCGCAGGAAGGGGCTCTGCTCCGCGGGCACATTCCTCATCCCCGGGTGCCATGTGACCTCGCGAGGCCCCGCCCAAGCCCGTGTCACCTCCTTGTGAGCCTCCGACACACACACAACCCCCCCTTTCCCAGGATCCAGGGGTCCAGGCTCCGAGGCCACAGAATGAGGGGGCGGGGTGCTCCGGGCGCACAGACTGCGAGCCTGCACCGTGCGCGCTGGACGCCGAGGGGTCGAGGGGCCCTAACCACTTGGGCGACTGAGAATAAGTTGGGGAAGACAGACCCCAGCACGCGAGCAGTGATTGTGCACCCCACCCCTGGCACCTGAGTCCCTCCGGGAGTAGGGCCGAACTCACAGGTGGCTGGCTCTCTGGGCTTGCTGGTCCCCTGCAGGAGGCTCCTCAGCCCAAGCAGTGTTCCCCCGCCAGGGGTTGCCCCGGCCGGGCCGCCCAGCAGCAGGGGAGCCGGAGTTCTGTCGCTCAGAGGCCGCGCCATCGCCAGGCACTTAGACCCAGGTTCATGGGCTCATGGAGAGGCAAAGGACTTGCTCGCCGGGGACTCCTGAGGCTCGGGCGAGTGTCTGCCCCAGGTTGGGCGCGCGTAGCTTGCAAGCCTTCAGTATCCAGAACGCTGCAAATCCTAGGAGCGCCAGGGGTTCGCGATCTTTGGTGCAGAAATGTGCGAATCAAGAAAGTCCAGGGAGATCATACGATCTGGGCGAGTGGGTGACCAGATCAAGCGGCCAGTTCTTTGCAACTGAAGGTGCAGGAGGACACATGCGCTCCTTCTTACAAGGTGGGCGAGTCTTGCTCTTAACAAAAATTGCAGCTCTCGATAGAGGAGGCGCTTTGCAATCTGCACCAGAGAGGTGTGCGTGGAGGGGTGGAGGAGGGAGCAGAAGGAGGCGGCCGCTTTGAGGCGTGGCCAAGGCAAACTTCTTTCGCGGAAAAAAAATGCAAACCAAAACACCGGCCGCCAAAGCGCGTGCCCGCCTCCCGGTCCCCGCCCGCCTCGGGCCTGCACCGCCCTCCTCGTTGGCCATGAATCCCTGCCGCGTGCCTCCCTCTGGCTGCAGGCACGGGCCAATCCTGTCTCGGCCTCTTGAGACCCCCGGCCAATGGGGGCCCAATAGCGGCCAACCCCGTGAGGGCGCGTGAGGGGCTCGACGCGTGAAGTTGTCTTGCCTTTTGGAAAGAGGCGGGACATTGACCTACATTTGACCAATAGAAGGTGGTGCTAGGGGCGGGACCGTGACCCAATTGTGTCCAATGAGGCAGACGAAAGGGATAAGCACATGGCTGGGCGCGTGCAGCTTGATGGGGATGAAGGGGAGAGGCGCCTCTTAAAGGAACCACTTATCCAAATGATTGTTTTAGCAGTGATTGTTAGGAAACAGGGAGCCAGATTACCATGGGGCTAAAACCTGGGAAGAGTCACTGGTTTCGGGAAGAAAGCTACTCTTGGGGCTGGGGATTTAGCTCAGTGGCATAAGCGCCTGTCTTGCAAGCAGGCAGTCGTGAGTTCGATCCCTGGTATCTTTAAAAACAGACAAAAAAAAAAAAAAAGCTGTTCTTTAATATCCAAGTATCCCCGTTGAGTCTTAGAATCAGACCACCGAAAAAGAGCAAGTATTGTCTTTTTAATAGCTTTGTTTTTGGGGTGACTCCCCTCCCCTTGCAGACAGGTCCGGGAAAGGCGGCGCAGTCGTCGGTGGGAAATCTCAGCGACCCTGAGGGGTACCATCCACTGCAAGAAAAGACGACGGTGGGGGTGACGGTCTAGGATGGACGGTATAGGCACAGAGCAAGGGAATGGGGCGGCACCGCGCAGGGGCGTACCACGGGAGCTGCGAAGGGGGAGCCGGCACGTACCAAATTGAGAAGCTGGGGAAAATAGGTCTAGAAAAGGCCATAGTGGACAGTAAGAAGGTGGAATAGGGACGTTCAAAGTACTTGAAGACACGGAGACTAGAGGTCTGGTCTGTACAGTGTTAAGATGTGGCCTTTAGCTCTGTGGGCTGAACCACGGCAGGCAGTACGGAGGGAAAGGGGTCGTACCATATGGATTCTCAATAAGGGGGGTTGTCGGACCTCAGGACACCGTAGGATCGTACCATGGAAACAGAAGGGATGAAGATCGTGCCACTTTGGAAAGTCACAGTCACAGAAGGCATGGGGCAGTAGGTACATTACCTATTCTTCAAGAAAGCTTATATACCAAGTTGCAAATCAGTGAAGAGGAAATGGTCTTGGCTGGAGGTGGGCTGTACCACTTTGATACGCAAGGGAAAACGACTAGAGAAGTGAGCACTCGGGCTAGACTACACAGATAGCGCGGCGGGGGGTGGTGGGCGGGGCGCGGGCGGGACTGGATCTTATTGAGATGACGTAGGGAGACACAGAAGCAGATTGGACCCGGACAAGAAGGGGCTGCAGACTGAACCATACCATGCAGGCGGTAGTTGGGGCCTCGGCAGCGTCTTTCGGGATGCCGGGGGTCCCTGTTGCCCCTCAATGCCCTGTGGGCCAAAGGCTGCAGGGGCCGGCCATTCCCGCTGAGGCTCTGGAAGATCTGGGACGGAGGATTCTGGCTCAGGAGTCTCAGGGAGTGCATCTGCCATAGGAGGAGCGTGGGAAATGGGCAGTGAATGCAAGGGACCTTGATCGGCACCGCCCACCCGCAGGTTGGCGGAACTCTAACCTCCCTGGGCTCCCAGACTAGGAGAGGGAAGGTCAGGGAGGCAAGGGGTCTCCAGGGGTGGGGGATGCAGATAAGGGTCACCTGGAGGGAGGTGATGTTGAGGGGCCGGTCGATGAGGATCCAGGTGACAGTCTCCGAGCATGGTGGGGTACTGAGAGAGCCCTGATAGGTGATGAAGCCAAAAGATTCGGGGAACAAAAGCTCCAGGCTCAGGTCTTGTAGAAAGTAAGCATCATCTGCGGGAATATCAGGCCAGAGTGGAGAGGGGGTGTACCCCTCTTAGCCCCTGCACGGTGCCCCCAGCACTCCAGCACTTACTCTTGTAGGAGATGCGGGTGATGGTATCTCGGTTGAGAAGGCGACTGAGGAATGGGTTTGAGCTACCAGCCACCTGCATCGGGGTCAATGGTGAGGTCTAAGTCTTCAACTCCCTACTCTCCCAGCATCCCATCTTCTTTTCACAGACCCCAATTCCACATGGCCACCTGGCCTCTGCTCACATTGACAAAAAGGCTGAGAATGGCGAGGCCATTGGGCCCACGGGAGGCTGTGCTAAGATTTCCGTAGAGTTCCTGGTTGAAGTGAATGAGCTGCACCTAGGGGGGCCGAACAGAGAGTTGGGGTCCTCCAGCAGATGGGGAGGAAAGGAGAACCCCAGGTTTTAGAGTTAGATTGAAGGTTAGCGCTTAGGGTGGGGGGCAGTGCTGTGGAGGCAGATCAGATGAGGCATGTAGTAGAAAATGAGGGGATGACTCAGAGAAAAGGGTCTCGAGGAAGAGGTCAGTGGTCACCACCTCAGCAGAGAAGCCCTGATGATTGATCTGGTGTTCAGAGCCCGCTCCATCTCGAGCTCCAAACAGCAGCCGCAATTCACTGAGTCGGTGGCTGTAAAGGAGAGGACCCCCAGACACATTGACCACTGGCCGAGATGCAGGCAGGAAGGAAACGTGGCGGCCGGTGTTGTACAGTGTTCCCCGGAGCTGTGAGAGAGCCAGAAGGGGTCAGGGAGGCATAGAGAAGTCTTTCCCTTCCCACTTTCCATCCCTCCCTTCACGGAGCCAAACAGTCATTTCATCAATCAACAGACTGAGCAGCACCCACTCTCCAGGCTCTGGGCTCATTATTGGTGAATTCATTTTGCATGTATTTATCAAGCTGCTACTGTATGCCATGGACACCAGGACACACAGCAATGGAGGAAGAGACGAGAGACAGGCAATAAATAGTGAATTGCAGGTCAGGGATATAGTTCAGTGCAACAGTGCCTGCCTGGCAAGCGCAAGGTTGTGAGTTCGATTTCCAGTACCAAAAAGCAGGGAGCAGATTTAGCTCAGTGGCATAAATGTCTGCCTGGCAAGTGCAAGGTCATGAGTTTGATACCTAGTATCAAGAAAAAGAATGACAAATTAACTGCATCTCCTCTAGTCCTGGATATTGAACCCAGAGCCTTTACACTGAGCTACATTGCTGGGTTTTTTTAGTTTTTATTTTGGGGTAGGTTCTCACTAAATTGCAGGTTCCCTCAGTACTAGGATGGCACACATGTGCCACTAAGCTGGCTGTAGCTATTTAAATTAATTACATCAGTAATGGTGGTGGCACTTATAAGAAATGGTACTGTGCCAGATGTGGTGGTACACACCTATCATCCTAGCACTGTATAGGGCTGAAGCAGAAAGGTATCAAATTACAGTCCCACTTGAGCAGTTTAGTGACTTAGTGAGAATGTCTCAAAATAGAAAGAAAGAAGAGAAAGAAAGAAACAAAAAGGTTTTTGCAATGTGAGTTGCAGTCTGGACTCTGGGATCACACTTGATTTGAAATCTCAGTGCTAACACTGGCTGTGTGACCCTAGGCAAGCAGCTTAACTTCTCTGAACCTCAGTGTCTGCAACCATAAAATAATAACAGCATCTATTTCACGGGCTCATTGTGAGGACTGAAGGTTTGTCAGTGTTTTAAAAGTACCTGCCACAGGAAATGTGCTGTTTTTCTTTGCTTCTAAGAGATGGGAAGACTAAGGAGCCATGTTTGGGAAGGGAAGAACAGGAACTGCTTTAGAGAATAGGCAGCGTTCTCCCCACCCAGTAGATAGCCCTTTCTCCCCAAGGCTGTCTCAGCACCCCACACACACTCATACCCGCTCCCAGTGGATCCCCCAAATCCTTACCTTCTCTCCTCCTGTGCTGAGTCTTAGCGGGGGCAGGAAGGGGTCATAAAGGACCCTCTTCAGGTCCACATCCACGGGGCTCTGCCGTTTCCCCACAGCACACAGACTCCAGGCTGCGTTCACCAGGCCCCAGAACGGAGGCCCTGGGGGAATATTGGGGACAAGAGCAAAAGAGTCAGAAACTGGGGCTGGTTCGCAATACTGGGATCTGCTGGGTGGGATGTGATCCACACTCGTGGGTCTGAGGAACGAGGGGCTGGCCCGTAGATCCTGGCTTCTAGAAGACTCTTGGAATTGTTCCCCAAGACCCTCTATCACCTCCAATTCTCGCTTTCATCCAAAACATCGTAACTGTCATGTGGAAGAAACTACAACTCCCAGCAGGTCTCGGGACTGTAGCGTACTCAACTAGGGCTCGCCTGTCCCGTGGCCTCTGGGAGTTGTAGTTCTGCCACGCTCCCTTGTCACACAGCTGGATCGTGAATGCACTAGGGTGAAGAGTTGAGAGCTAGATCTGGAGAAAACGTCGGGGACGGGTAACCAGGTCACTCGCTTCTCGTTCCCAGCAGGGGCCAGGACCTGCCCCTCCCCACCACCCCCGCGCGCGCGCGTTATACACTCACACTCTTTCCTTCCACTCACTCCCACTCACTACTTGAAATGCGCATGTATAATGTCCCATGGTGAGCTGCCGGGTTCAGAGGCTGGGCCCCACTCCTGAAGGAAGGAGGAGGGGCTGGGACTCCAGCCCCTTGGGGAAGGAAGCGGCTGGGGACCCAGACTCCTGAGTATGAAGGAAGCCCCTGGTGGCAGGGGAAAGGGGGCCACTCCTGGATCCCCGCCCTGACTGCACCTGGCACGAAGTTTCCCTGGAGATTATCCTTGTAGCTCCACCAGTCCTCGGGGTCAGGTGCGGGTCCGATGTGCGCTGGGAAGAGAGGAGCCTACAGCCCTCTGCTGGGCGCCCGCCGCCCCTCCCACGAGGCTCCCGCCGTGAACCCAGGTCTTACCTGCCGCCCCCAGTGCGGCCCAGAGGACCAGCGCTCGAGGGGTGCCCCGCATCCCGGGAAGGCTTGCAGTGACCCCTTGCCGTGCCCTGTGCCCTCAGCTCCCGGGACTCTGATCCCCCCAGGACCTTCAATCTCCCTCTTTCCCACTGGGGTCCGAGTCCCCGGGATTCCTCTCTGGCCCTCCGCGCCCAGCCCTGCACTCCCTCCACCTCCTGTCCTCCCCTGTCCACCTGCCCCGGCTCCTAGCTGCAAACCCACACCCTCCCCGGCTCGGCATGGAGCTGAGCCGCCTAACTCCGCGTCTCCATCCTCTCTTGCTTGGCCTCCTCCCTCCTCCTCCTCCGCGCCTCCGCCTGCCTCTCCTCTCAGAGCTCCGACTCCGCTGCCGGCCCCCCCTCCTCCCGCCCTCCCTTCTCGCCCGTGTTATTTAATTTTTCATATGAGGGGGGGGGTTGCGGTGATCTCGCAGCAGCATCTGCGCCCGGGGTGGGGTGCGTGCGGGACAGCCAGGGTGCGGTGTCCTGGACACCTGGGGCCATGGGCGGCTCCGGCTCCGCAGGGTAGGGGCGGGAGGTGGAGCAGAGAGACTCCGCCCCACGCAGGATCAGGGTCCCTGGTCACCGCGCCCCGGGAGCCCCGCGCGCACCCCGGCCCCGCCCGGCATGAAGCGTTGTGCGCTGGGATCCCCAGGGAGTTGGGGTGTGGTGAGGGCTGCTAGCCGAGAGGGGGCGGCAAAAGCCCGGTGAAGAGAGAAGCCCGGAGCGGAGCAGGAGGCATGGCGGAGGAGCAGAAGGGCTGGAGGTGGAGATTGCAAAATGTCAGGCCGAGGCAGCGGGACCGAGAGAGGATCAGGGACAGAGACAGAGAGAGGGAGGATCAGAGACAGAGGCAGGGAAAGAGATGCGCAGAGATGCACACTGAGAGATACGAAGCAAGGACCCACACATCAAGTTGGAGGCTGGGAGAGGCAGAGACAGAGATACAGACACATGGCGAGACAGGCACAGAGAGACATTTCCGGATAGAAGCGGAGCATCCAGAGAGAGGCCCTCCAGGCAGGAGGAGGGAGGGAGACAGGAAGAAAGATTTAGAGACAGAAACAAAATATTAAAGAAAGGCGGGAAGAGACACATACACTAGGAGACTGAAGTCACAGGCAGACACCTCTATAAATAGAGCCGTGCTGCAGATCAAGAGCCTTGAACAGAGAGGAACACCGGCACAGAGATAGAGGCCCAGATAGGACAGAGGCCCACAAACAGGACAACCTAGTGTTCAGGGAGAGCAGAGACCAGAGAGAGGCATTCAGAGGCATCGAGCGGCAATGGGCATCAGAGACCGAGATGGAAAGAGACAGATACAACAGGATCAGAAATGCAGGAGCTGCAGAAAAAGCATCCAAGAGACAAAGCTGTGTATTATTAGTTACCTGATGTTGCACGACACCTAGTGACTTAAAATGACAAATATTATTAGCAAGGCCAGGTGGCACACACCTGCGATTCCAGCATTCTGGGAGGCTGAGGCAGGAGGATGGCAAGTTCCAGTCCTGTTTGGACAACCGATGACTTTGAACCTGCCTCAAAATTACAAGTAAATAAATACATAAAGGACGGGAATGTGTGTAGGTTCTGAGTTTGATCCCCAGTGCCACAAAGAAGAAAATGACATTTACTGTCTGCCAGTAAGTGACAGGTTTAGGAATTGGGATGGCTGATGGGGAAGAGGGGGGCTCCAACTAGGCTGCTAGCTTGGGCCTCAGTTATCTGAGGCCTTTGACCATCTGGTCTCCAGATGCCTTGTGCCTGCTATTCATCACCAGAAATGAGTCATTTAGTCTGGTGACACCTAAAGGGAAAAGAATCAGGTTCCTGAAGGGAAGCACATCAAAGAATGTTCAAATTTTATTTTAGGGCCACCTCAGGGATAAGAGGAAGAGACAGACAAAGCAGTGGTGAAAGAAGACAACACCTTGTGTGTGTGTGTGTGTGTGTGTGTGTGTGTGTGTGTGTGTATCTGTGGGGAGGTACTGGACTTTGAACCCAGAGTGTTTGCACTGAACTACACCCATCCCTTTTTTATTGTTTTTTTTTTTTTTTTTGTCTTTTTCGTTTTTATCGGTACCAGGGATCGAACTCACGACCTTCTGCTTGCAAGGCAGGTGCTTATGCCGCTGAGCTAAATCCCCAGCCCCCCTTTTTTATTGTTTATTTTGAGACTGGGGCTTGCTAAATTGCTCAGGCTGGGCTCAGATTTGTGATCCTCCTGCCTCAGCCTGCCAGAGTGCTGAGATTACAGACATGTACCACCACCCCTTGGCTACAAAGAAGTGACTGTACATATAAAAAAGTTAAGGATCTTGAGAAGAGATTAGGGGCCCAGGATTTAGCTCAGCAGCACAAGCTCCTGCCTGTCAATCACAAGGTACTAAGTTCAATTTCCAATACTACTACTACAAAAAAAGACTAACATTGAGAAGAGATTAGCCTATGTTATTTGATGGACATTAATTCTAGTGACAGGTGCCCTTAAACAGAAATAAGATCTGGGTCGGGGGTTTAGTTCAGTGGTGCCTGCCTGACAAGTGAGTTTGATCCCCAGTACCAAAGAGAGAGAGAGAGAGACAGAAATGAGATCTGACCAGGAAGAGAGGCTGACCAAAACAAGCAGGCATCAGAGCAGTATTATCACTAGCCAAGGGATGCTGGGAGCCACCAGAGGTGGATGACAAAAGGACAACTTTCCCCTGGGCCCTTTGGAGGGAGTGTGACCCTGTTGGCACCTTAACTTTTGACTTTTTGGTTTTCTATTTTTTTTTTTTTTTTTTTTTTTTGGTACCAGGAATCAAACTCAGTACTGCATGCTTGCCAAGCAGGCACTGTGCCACTAAGCTAAATCCCTAGCCCTGTTTGGTTTTTTTTAAATCAGGCTCTCACTGTATAGCCCTGGCTGGCCTGGAAGTTAAGATCCTCCTGCTTCAGCCTCCTGAGTGCTAGAGTTACAGCATGTGCCACTGTGCACAGTTTGATTTTTTTTGTCCTTTATTTGTTTTTATTTAGTACCTAGTCCAGCTTGACTCTGAACTTTTTTTTTTTATCAGTACCAGGGATCGAACTCACTACTGTGCGCTTGCAAGGCAGGCACTTATGCCACTGAGCTAAATCCCCAGCCCCAACTCTGAACTTTTAATTTTGAGAACCACAGGACAATAAATTTTGTTTCAGCTGCAGTTTATGGTGATTTTTTGATTACAGCTGAGGTGGAGGTGAGACATAATGAGAGACATGGAAACAGAGGAGGCCAGGATATGCAGAGGGAAGGACAGGCAGAGGGGAGCAGGGGCCTCCTGAGGGTCCTGGCCTTGTGCCTCCCTGGGTCTCCCATGTGACCAACACAGCATCTGGAACGTGTGAGTCCTCAAGAGAGAAATCAGGCACCACTGAAGGAAACCGAGCTCCTGATGTCTCCCCTGGAGCCTCTGCCTCGCTCTCTGTCTGAGGGATACCCCGTTTTCCTGCCATGATGCAAAGGGCCTCACATCATCCTGCAGAATGTCTCTATCTACCAGGCTGGGGCTGGTGCCACTTCTTGGTGCCCTGTGCTCACGTGCCTTCTAGCACTGTGTGCACACCCAGCTACAAGAGGCCCAGAGTGTCAGGGCCTCCCTTTTCCGGGAGACTTCAAATGGATGTGTTAAAGGCAGATGTGGTGGCAGCTACCTATAATCCCAGCACTCTGGGAAGCTGGGACAGGAGTATCACCAGCTCAAAATCAGCCTCTGCAGTTTAGCAAAATAAAAAAAAATAAATAAAGGTTTGGGCTTTGTAGCTCAGTGCCAAGGCCCTGGGCTCAATCCTCAGTACTGGAAAGGAAAAAAAAAAAAAAAAAAAAAACAGGGAAAAAGAAGTAGAAAAAGAAAGTGGAGGAGAGGGAAAAAGAGAGGGTGTGGTGGTACACATTTGTAATCCCAAGATTCAGGAGGCTGAGGCAAGAGGATCACTGTGAATTCCAGGCCAGTTTGGGCCACGTAGTGAATTCAAGGGCACTGTGAGCTACCTAGCGAGACTCTGTCTCAATAAAAAAAGACTCCCCTCCATAAAATACACATATTAAATGTTACTGAAAAAACTATGAAGGATTTATTGAGAGTGCTGGGGGTTGGGGCCAGCACTACGAAAAGGATGAGAGGAAGAAACATTGAGCCAATGAATAAGTGAATGAATGAAGTAAGAATCCAAGGCATTCACAGACAGCTGAGGAAGGGATTGTCCTGCCTGGGCCTTAGGAAGAAGGCTCTCCAGGGTTGGCAGCTTCTCATCCCTGCTTCCTCCAGTCTCCCCATTTCACTCCCACTCTGCCCTAGACACACACACACACACACACACACACACACATACACACACACACACACACACACAGTGCTTTCTGCTCCACGCATAGCTGACCCTGTTGCTCCATTGTCCTTGTCCTAGCGGTTCAGTCTCTCCCACCTTGACTCCTTCCTCTGTCCTTCAAGACTCAACCGTGGGGGAGCAACTCCATCTCAAGGCTCCATTTTCACCATACACTGGGTCACGTCAGTGATAATGACTTCCTATATCACCCACTTTTTTGTTGCTGTCATTTATTTGTTTTGGTTTTTTTGAGACAGGGTCCCATTATGCAGTCTAGGCTTGGCTTTGAACTCACTATGTAGTCTATGCTGGTCTCAGCGCATGGCGATCCTCCTGCCTCAGCCTCCTGAATGCTGGGATTACAGGTGTGCACCACCATGCCTGGCTGTGTCACCTGCTTTAACACTGTTTGTCTCTTACATGGGGGGGACCCTGCTCTTTTCTTCATCCAAGAACCCCTAGTGGGGGAAAAACTGAAGGCCTCAGCTTGGCCTTACAAAGCCCGTACGCCCTGGCCATCTCTAATCCCAGCCTCGTCCTTTATCTTTGGACACACCAGGTCCTCTAGCCTTTGACCTCTTAGCAAATCGTTCTCTTTTCCTGAGCATCCCTTCCCCCTTTCACTACTGGACCATGCCTATTCAGACCTACTCAGGAGCCCCCTCCAGGAAGCCATCTGGCAGAGTGAACGACGGCCCCGTGCTGTGGAGGCCACCTGCGCCACCTCCATTATGGCACAGACAGGCTGGCCAGGCACCCAGTGGGCGGGCCAGGCGGAAGGTGGTCCCAGATGTGCATTTCACGCTGATTTGTCTCGGGCGTTGGGAACAAAGTTTGGGTCATAAGGAACATATGGGGCTCGCCCTGAGACGCTTTTATCTCCCACCGCCGGCTTCTGGTGGGAGGT